TGAAAAGGTTTTAAAGAAACATGCTTGCCTATCCATAGAACTTACAAGAGGTCGTCCAGTGGTCGAAAACTCGACCAAAAATATGTAATATACAGACTTCACTATTTTCCCTTCACACTGTAAATAAAACATGTGATTGGAATTTCTTCCATTTGTTTTAATTTTCTGTTTTTAGCGAATTTTCCATATAGGGAATAAGGTATTAGCATAGGTCACATGGTAAGACCTGGACGTGGGGCCGATTTTCTTTTTCGTTTTGAGGTCCCCAGAGGCCATAAAAACACCATCCGGTGTCCGTTAGCACGATAACTCGAGCAAAAATTAACCGTCTTTGATGAAATTTGGTACAAACGTGTTAACTTACATTTATTCGAACGAGTTCGCGAACCAGCATGATCGGACTATGGGAACAGGGGTTTATGGGGGGGGTTAAAACGGGGTTTTCCCATTTTCACCCTGTGAATATAGAATTTTGCAATTTCTTTCCAAGCCAATTTGTAGAGCTCAAAAAACAAATAATTTAGCAAATAACAACAACAAACGGAAATAGTTATTTGTGCAACTAGTGAGAAAAGTGAGCAATTGACTCACTCGAGAGATATCCTTACTCACGAGCCGTAGGCGAGTGAGGAATGGTTTCTCGAGTGAGGCAATTGTACTTTGAACTCGAGTTGCACATTATACTTTTCCTACAGTTACCATAAAACAAATAAATTGGTGAAGAAACATAACCTATTTTTACACAGAAGTGAACTTGTAATATAACATTTAATGTGAAGTGACAAATACAACAGTACAACAGCTGACCAGCTGATTTACAGCCAGTGCTGCCAACGTATTTCGCGCGCATACGACGATGCCTGCATGTTACGCGCTCACTATTTCGTGCCTTCACGTTGCAAATCTGGAGTGAGACAAAGTAATTAGAGTGAGACAATGTTAACATTGTCTCACTGATGAGCGAATTGGCCACTTTGCTTTCTCAAATCAGTGAGAGAACATGTACATTGTTAGGTAACTGTAGGAAAATATATTTTTTTTGAAATAATTTTGATCATGTTAGTGCTCTATTGTGTGAGCTGTTCACACTCCACCTTTTATAGACTATAGTGTTTTGTGATTGGTTAAATTATTATTTGCTTGTTGTATCATGACTTGACTGTTATATAGTGCATATTTTTTGACGGCTACCTTCTGTAGTGTCTTCCCACTTAGGTTGGGCGTTTGTGTATTGTTAGTTGTAATGTGTTAGTTAAGTTTTTTCACCTGAGGACGGGATCAGATTCCAGATCCGGAATCGTTGTGTATTGTTTTTTAAAATCGTGATGGAAAATGTCCGCAATAAACCTTTGAACAAATAATTTAGTCCATTAAAGCATTTTTGTATGTCTAACGGTTACGGAAAAAATCCCAAAAGACAATTTTAAGGGAATTATTTTAATGGAATTCCAGCCAGGTAGATGGAAATTCGCTTAGTCTGCAGGTTTGATGCGGCGGGGGTATTATTTCGTTATTTCGTTGTCATTTCGTCACCAACCAGCATAGTAACCCATAAACTCCATGTTATTTTTTTTATTTTAAATTCATATTATTTTGTGCTTATTTTTGAGCCTATCCATACTAAAGGGTGTCCCAATAAGAACGCCGGATTTGAAATGTTAACAAACCATATATTTTCTCACTAAATTTACAATATGAAACATGAATCTTAAAGCATAGTATCTCCGATTAGTAATTGAGTATTATGTCTTGTAAGTGCCAACCTGCTAAATACTGACAAGCTCGACATCTCTTGACAAAGTTTTCCATCACTTTTTCACACACTTCCTGTTGAATTCCATTAATGGCACGAATCATTTCCTCCTTCAAGTCTTGGATTGTTTGAGGATTATTGGCGAAAACAAGCGACTTTAAATATCCCCAAAATATAAATGAGCCAATTTATTCGAACTTATAAATCAATCTTCGGACAGATGGATCATTTGGTGCATTGTCCCGGCCGTAAATAGTGCGCAGCTTCCGTGATTGTAGTGCACTTTAACTATGACCGCGCATTGTTCCGTCGTGTAGCGATTCATGACTACAAATGGGACCTAATACTGATAACATCGCTGATAATTTGGGAATTTCTATTGAAATACAGATAAGGATAAGACGCTCCTCAAATCCGGCGTTCTTACTGGGACACCCTTTATTATATAAACATTGTAATTATAATAAAAGGGATTCTGCATATATACAGGAAAATATCTTTCTAACCGTATGCCTACGCATCTACATATTCCCTGCAATGTACAAGAGCTGAGAAAAAAAGGTTTTGAAGAAACATGCTTGCCTTATAGATAAAAGTCAAATACCACTGACTCACTGATCACTGTATCTCAAAAACTACTAACCCTAAGAACTCTGAAATTGGTTTGGAGATTCTAAGTAGGCTTTAGGTAATCAATAAGAAGCGTTTTTAAGAAATTCCGTCAGGGCTCTGCTCCAGTGGCCTCTCAAGTGCCCATGTTATCCTTATGGAGAATTTTTTTTTATATTTGAACAGATGAATATTTTTTTTTTAATTTTATACTATTAACTAGCTGGCCCGACAGACGTCGTCCTGTCCTAATGTGGTTTTATGTCAAATGCTCGTTCATTTTCAAGAAGAGCTCGTTCGTATGGCTCAATCACGTCCTGGTTGAAGTTCGTTCGCTACGCTCACTCACCTTTAGGTTGGAGCTCGTTCGCTGCGCTCACTTGCCTTCAGATTAGCTCGTTCGCTACGCTAACTCGCCTCCAGGTTGAAGTTCGTTCGCTACGCTCACTCACCTTTTGGTTGCAACTTAGCTGTTGTCATAAATTTAAAAAAATAATAGTGCTGCACCCTGTTGGTAAACCTAGTATTTTAGCGAATTTCCCATATAGGGAATAAGCTATTACCGTAGTACTCATGGTAAGACCAGGACGCGGGACCGATTTTTTTTTCGTTTTGAGGTCCCTAGAGACCAAAAACACCATCCGTTCAAATTCATATATATATATACATATATATATATATATATATATATATATATATATATATGTGTGTGTGTGTGTGTGTGTCCGTTAGCACGATAACTCAAACAAAAATGATCCGATTTTGATGAAATTTGGTACAAACATGTAAACCTACATTTATTCGAACGAGTTCGCGATCCAGCATAATCGGACCATGGGAACAGGGGTTTATGGGGGGTTTTATGGGGTTTTCCCATTTTTGACCCTAAAAACATAAAATTTTAGAATTTCTTTCCCAACCATTTTGTAGAGCTTAAAAAATAAATAATTTAGTATATTGAAGCATTGTTGTATGCCAAACGGTCACGGAGAAAATTCAAAAAAATGCAAATTTAAAATTCCCATGTTAATCTTATGGAAAAAATGAAAACTGTTGTAGTTTACTTGTTTATGGATATATGTTGATCAAATTTGGCATACTTATTTATTTCATCCTATAATATTGTTGTTTGGTTAAAAACACTGTTTAGGTACCTTCCCCGCAGCAGCAAACCTAAGCACTCGTTATATCTAATGTTATTTAAATTGGGAATAAATATGTCTTATTTATGGAAGTATTTTAGTAAATATGTAATCAGACAAGTTGAAATTCGCTTAGTCTGCAGGTTTGCTGTGGCGGGGGTATTTTAATTATATCACAGAATCAAATTGTTTAGTTGAGCCAGCTGTTAAGATTCTTTAATTCCATTTAAATCTGAGTACTCATACCCTTAACATGGGAAACTCCAGAACACTGGGGCGGAGCCCTTTTGACGGATCTGCATGAAACTTCACACAAACCATCCTTGAATAATGCCTGAAAGTTTCATTACAATCTGTCGAGCGGTTTCGGAGTCCATAAAGGACAAACAAACAAACAAACATACATACATTGTATTTTATATACAGGTTGATTGGTACTCAGTGTAAGAAAAATTTTTTGGTGTAAGCCCAAAGTAAATGCAGTATGATGATGCATATAATATGTTCCAAGTCTGAAAATTAGCTTCCCACAGAATTATTTTATGTTTTTCAAAAATAACTATGTTTCAAACTTAATACAGCTATGTCTCAATTACCTGTAAATGGATTTGAGTAGATAATGTCATTTTCGTGTTCTACATTAAATTTTGAATAAGAATAATACAAAATGACAGAGCATCAGTTGTAAAAACTCCATTGTAAATAGATTTAAAGATAAAAATTACGATGTTTGATAAATATAAAAAAAAAAACAATGGTCTATTTCATTTTTCACACCCTGTATACAAGAAAGTATAGGAATATGTTAAAAACTGCGCCATTTTATAAGTTTTCCAACCATATGCTACACTATATATGTAATGTAACATAATGTACCGATACCAGTCCGACTGTCATCACAATATGCAATATGAAGTAAGCCCTTTAAAAGTTTTCTTTTTCATTATTAAAAATAAGGCACAGGGACAGACGCTAACGAAGGAAGGATTGTGCGTGCCAGGCCCTGTTTTTAAACGTTCAGTTTAATGTAACGATTTCATGGGGCGTCTGTGTCTGTAAAACAAAACCACCATAAATAATATCACTGGTAGCCATCGCCTCAAACACATTGTTCAAAGATATCCTTTGATTAATTACCTATGTAAATACCTCAACCTTATGTTTCAAAAAACAAATAATGTAAAATATTAACCCATATCCATTCCGTAGTTCGACCAACACCAACTACATTACATGGTATCACCATGGTATCATTACATGGATTTGGTTAGTCAAATCCGGTACAGTACTTCAATTAAGTGAGATTTGCAGAGGATAGGCTACAGTGTGAATGTTCTACACGGGTCGGCTAGTGCTAGATTATAAAGTCAATGACTATACCTATTATTTTGAAGCGAACTACAACCAGAATTTCAGATTTTAGCGTCTAGGGATTCGACTATCACCAGTTAACTCATGACTTAAACTATGATTACGTTTGACATTAAATAAATCACCCCAATTGCCAAATTGTCCAGTAATCCTCGGATGATATCGTCACATGTGTCCCAGTGGCTGGCCTCCATATACTCCCTCCTGACACAGTTGTGCACCAATTGTTTTACCAGGTTTTGGTTGTTATTCCAGAAGTCCTGTGTTACACTGCCAATCTTGGCTTTGTCTTCCACATCGTTTCCAATGTTTGAGCCTAGATGGACCTCCAGTCCATGTCTTAGACTCTGGATTTTCTCATTCTAAAATTTCGTATTATTGATTAATAATAAGACAACTATTTTTGTTATAAATATATATTATTATCATGGCAATATATAATGTATAATAGTAATAAAAAAATTATTAAATGAAAATACTGTTTTATCGAGGTGAACATTAGGGCCACGTGGCCCTTTCTTACAGTTAACCTCTTATGTAAATATATAAACTAATTAATATCTTTTTAACTCGTTTTAAAAATAAACAAAATCTATAAATAAAGCCAAAAGTACCCGTGAACTTTTGAGAAAACTACAAGTCACACCCCCATAAACCATATACTACGTCATGACGAGAAACCTTGCGCAAAACTATCCATTACTTCATAAATTACCCTATAAGGTCGTAATTGCTTTCCAAAGGGAACTTTCCATTTACCTAATGTTAAAAATACCTCAGCTGTTATTGTTTGTTTTCCTACAGTCACCCGACACAGTTGGCTTCCTTGTACTGTTTATAGAAGAGAAAGCTGCTAATTGCTGCATATTTATACTTTGCCGTACGGTTTATACTTTGTCGTACGGTTTATACTTTGCCGCACATCAGGATTCCAACGAAACAACACAAAAAAGCGTGGTTCTATTATGCACGTAATCCGTGTACGCTTTGAAATAGGTTGGCAACACTTAAAAATAATAATACTATGAGCAGCTGATTGACTACTATAACTACGATTTAACCTGTCATTTCGTGTTTATAGTTTCGGTATTTCTGAACTTTCTGGACTTTTCTTTTAAACGTTTTTTAAACATTCCTACGATCTTAATAAACAAGAAAATACCTTTAAAGCATTTTTTAGGCGCGGAAACCACTTCAAATTACAAAAACATACGGAACAATATTCTCAAAACGCGGAGCACATTTCTTGTCTAGGAAAAATAGCGGAGTGATACGGACCGCGGGTACTACTTTCTCTAGGGCACCATTTATGTTGCCAGCTGAACCTAAAAACGTGTTGTATAGTGTTTGAAAGACTAATTATTTATATGCTTTATAGTGACTGTAGGAAAAATATAATGTGTAACACGAGTGAAAAAGGCCTTTGCTGCACACGACGCGGAATGATCTCGAGTGCAGCAAAGTGCCACTTTCACCACTAGTTACACAAATAACTATTTGTTTTACCATTACTGTATTCTGTTTTGTTTATTTGAGCTTAACTTAACCAATCAATAGTTTTAGCGAATTTCCCATATAGGGAATAAGCTATTACCGTAGTACTCATGGTAAGACCTGGACGCGGGACCGATTTTTTTTCGTTTTGAGGTCCCTAGAGGCCAAAAACACCACCCGTTCAAAAATCATATATATATATTCATAAATATATATATATATATATATTTATGTGTATTATTTTCTTGCATTTTTAGGGCTACTAATATAATAAAATTAAAACATATATAACAAAGGAAATTTGGTACAAACGTGTAAACCTACATTTATTCGAACGAGTTCGCGATCCAGCATGATCGGACCATGGGAACGGGGGTTTACGGGAGGTTTTATGGGGTAAAAACAGGGTTTTCCCATTTTTGACCCATAAAACATAAAATTTAGCAATTTCTTTCCAAACCATTTTGTAGAGCTTAAAAAATAAATAATTTAGTATATTGAAGCGTTATTATGCGCCTAATGGTTACGGAGAAAATTCCAAAAAATTTTAAATTTAAAATTTCCATGTTATTCTTATGAAGAATAAGTAAACTGTTGTAGTTTGCTTGTTTATGAACATATTTTGATCAAATTTGGAAAATGTTTTATTTCTTACTAACTATTAACATTTTACAAAAAAAAAACAGTTTTACCCTCCCTGTTGCAGCAAACCTAAGTACTTGTTAAACTAATTCTATTTAAATCGGGAATAAATGTTATATTTTAAAGTAGACATTTCAGTGTAAATCCAATCAGTCAAATGGAAATTCGCTTAGTCTGCAGGTTTGCTGCGGCGAGGGTATTATACTTATGTAGTAAAACGGGGTGGAGCCCGTGGGTAACAGCGTGGTAACAGCTAATTATAACTAAGAACTAAAGTAACAACATTATTGTCCTTAACATACGCATCCACACACACCTTCACATTCTCTGCTTGTTGTTTGAAAACAAGCTGGAAGTAATTTTTAGAGGTTATCTTTACAAGAAAAGTATTTTGGTTTTCTAGCTTAATTTGCTAATAATTATTAATTTTATTAATGATGAAATAATTATGACGACAAATTTAGCTCATCACAAGGGCAAAAAGTTTTTAATTTATGCTTTAAATGGTTTATTAAATAGATTTATAGAGCAATACTCGGTCTTCTGGTGCTACATTTTAATATAGTATATATTTACCATCAATCGGATATTGGTCGGTTGAGAAAATGCATCCCACCATTTGCCTGCAGCTGCAGACTCAGGAATATTTTGCCCAGCAAATACCAGAACGAACAATAATGCGGGGATCATCTTCATATTCTTGTAAACTGTAAAAATATTTTTAAATAATTTCATCCTGCAATCAGTAGCAAGTTGACAATAAATACCAAAGTACCCCATCAACAGAAAACTTGCAGACTAAGCGAATTTCTAATTATTGCCGGAATGGATTTTCACTAAAATATCTCCTTGATTTCATATTTATTTCCTAGCTGCTGAACCCGTGCTTTGCGACGGCGAGGACACTGAGGAAAAACATTGATGTTTAAATCTGTTGTCTAAAATAGTTACACATCCGCCTTTGGTTTCAGGAACAAAATTTAATTGGACCTCTTAGTTTGAAGAAATATCTTTCTTTAAAGCTAGGCTAACCTATAAGGCCACCTAGTAAGAATTGTATGAGGCGCTAATATATGTATGACAATACTATAGCATAGGATTTCATTTTCAAATTATACGCTTACTTAAAAGTTTACTTAGTTGCAAAACTTACATATTCAGTTAATAGGTTAAAAAAGAATCACACAACATAGGGTACTGTAGTAAAGCAAAAAACTATTTATATTGATTTCACATAAAATATATATGTTTTACCCTAACTACTGAACTTTTTTCAGGAATCTTTAATAATTCCAAGCAAAAAAAGTGCACACAGTATAAACTAGTATGCATATTAAGTACCGGTATTTAGTATGGGTCTATAATAAAACGAGCATTAATACATGTCAGTAAGACCTGGAGGTATTTTCAGTTTCTTTACGTTTTTTATATAAACAAAAATATATGTGTATCAATGTTGATGAAAAGGATGGAACCCTAACCATTTAATGATTTAGAAGTCAATGGATAATAGTTTTTTTTGTGTTTTTTTAACCTTAAATAGATATAAAAAACGTAAAAATGTGTAAAAAAGTACACAACATGATATGGTATCAATTGAATGAGAAATGTATACTCTTAACAATTAAATACTTGAGAATGTGGATGGAGAAGCAAATGAATACTCCCGTGTGGTTCAAAACCCGCTGAACATTTAAATATGCATATTCTGATAGAAAATGGAAATTCAATCACATCATGTGCAATAACACCAAATAAAAATATACTAAAAGTAGTTTTTATTTTGGTGTAGATCAGAAACATAAATTTAAAGTTAGGTTTGGTCAAAGGGGTGCCTTTGTACACTAATTTGTTGGGCCTTACAAAATGAATATAAAATTAGAAATGATAACTGGGTCATGGTGCTAACGTGGTGGTTACAGTATTACCAATAACCAAGCTTAAATTTCAACAGACTATTATATCCTTTTCTAATTTTACAAAGACAATTTCAATTCTAATCAGGGAAGCATTTGTTCTCATCATTACCTCAAGACCAAAGCTACTTTAGTAAACCAGTATTTATTTACAAACAATTAAAAGTTTTTTGCCTTTAGCAATTATAACATTTGGAAGAGTTTTTTTTTTCAAAATGGTGGCCATATTATTTATTTTTTAAATCGAATAACAACAAAAATTTCTAATGTTATGAAAAAATGTTAAAAACACTAAGTTAAGTATTCAGCATTTAAAATTTCCAATCAAACGACACCAAGTTCAAAAAGATCGAATAATATGTTAGATATCACGAGTTTAAGTATTAAAATGAGGTAGATAAGGCTAAGCTGGTCAGATATGCCTAATTTTAGAACAACAAATAGTGATATCGGCTATTTCTTATTGTGGGTTTTTACTTAGCGCTAGATAAAAATATGTCGATGTCTGCGTTGTACTTCGTCAGGACTCAACTTAAATTATAAAATAACTAGCAACAGAGCCCGTTGAGGTTAAATACAACGGTCTCTAGTAAAATAATGGTTGTGAAATCCATACACCACATTACTCACAATTATTAATGGTACAGATTAAGCACAGAATAACATTAGAATTGCATACTTAACGTAAGGAACTCACTTTAAACAAAGATGCAAATTGTTAACAACAACATTTAATCAAAGAAAAATCAATTAAATAACAATAACTAGTGTCCCTGTTGCTCGAAATCGAGCAATTGCTAAGTATTACAGGAGTTATTTTAAAACGAATAACAGTCATATTTTTTTATGACTATAAAAGATTCGACTCAAAAGATTATGGAATACTCAAGATTTACATAACAGATCGATATAATCAACATTTCTTGTAAATATCTTATCATTTTTCAATAGCTGATTTTGTTTTTTAGCGTTTATAACACACATTATTTATATTTCTTCCCCTTGGTGGTGTTCTATGACTTTCCTATGTTTCCATAGTTTGCAAATCGTCTCTTTCAATGATTACTAAGAAATGCAGCACAGTGTTAATTCAGTTTTCTTTTTAGTATATCAATCTATCCAGGCTCTCTCGTTTTTTCCCATTGTAATAATTACGCCAACCCAAATTCAAAAAGTAACTATTTCATTTCAACCGAGTAAGTAAATGTTTGTGGCAAACTGTTAAATTAGCAAACTTATTGACTGTTTACAATTAACATATGTTCTTCTTCTCACTTTTAATGTCTGACAACAGCTGGAGTTTCATAACAATATTTGTTTCCCATGTTAATCTTATGGAGAAATACGAAACTTTAAAGGGCCCCAGGGCCTCACCCTCTATTTATTTCCCTAAAAAGAAAAATTCCTGCACAACTTCACGTTACGCTCTTTCCAATGACACCAAGAACATGTAAATCGGTTCAGTAGTTTCGGAGGAGTAATTCTCACAAAAAACCTGCTTGCGTATTAAATAAGTATAGATAGATACTATAAGCTGTTGAACACATGTTTCGTATGTTTAGAGGGTCGCCGGAATTGTACCCCCCTGGAATTGTATCCCCCGGCGATCGTTGACGTCATTTTGACGTCACGCCTAGGGGGGCTACAATTCCACCCCGTACACATTGATTTAAACGAAATCTAATCTATTTAATGTGGGCAAGTGATCAGTGAACAGGATAATTATATTAGATATTAAAAAGAGCAGGAGATGTACGGCCCGGAATTGTACCCCCTGGAATTGTATCCCCCGGAATTGTACCCCCTGCCAACATCAAAATATTTACGTACGGGGTGGAATTGTACCCCCCATCAGAAAGCCAAATGTGTACGGGGTGGAATTGTACTCCCCGGAATTGTACCCCCCACCCACTCGATAAACTTAATTGGTATTATGAAAATGAAGTACTGTAGTAGAGAATGCCTTCTACAGTGACATATGTTGGATTTTCAAACCTGTACAGAATATAGTGATTGTACTAAGGAACTATAATATTGAAGAGATAATCCAAAAATCTGGCTTCGCCACTTTACTTCGCCTCGGGCTATATGCATATTTTATTAATTTTCTTTTAACCATGAACAACCTGATTACCCAAGCTGATTGATTTTTTTTTAAAACGATACAAGCAGTGCAGATCCTAACAAACTTTGTTTTCAAGAGGAGTCGCAAGCACCGAATTTCGGCTTAGTTCTATAAATTTGAAATACTTACCTTTTGATTACTGCACTTAGGCCTAATAACTAAGCTATACTAGTTTGTATACAATAACTACGCTATAAGAATGGAATGGTTATTTGTCCACGTCAAATACCTGTTATGAAATTTAGTTGTAGGTATCTGGTACAAAGTATTTCACAGTTTGTCAAAGTTTTAACCTTTGTGAATTTAAGCTAACCCATGAACAGTTAGTACTTGGGAAGGTTAAGAAAATAGAATAACGTACAAAGAAGTCTGTTAGGCCTCTCGCACGTTACTCGGAATGTCCTTAATTTGCAGTTTCTTAGAATATCCTTTCACAACAAGCAATTCATTAGATGTCGGGTAACTGGGTTCAGTTCACTTTCGTGTGATTCCCCTATAATATCCAACATAACTATTGTTTTGATTTTAGTTGGTAATCATAATAGACAAGCTCCTGAGTGAAATGGAGGGGTACAATTCCAGGTGGTACAATTCCGGGCCGTACATCTTCTTCTGTGGTGACCAGGGGGTACAATTCCAGGGGGTACAATTCCGGTCCTGTAAGAAGGGCTAGACTGACGGGGGGTACAATTCCAGGGGGATACAATTCCACCCCGTACACTAGCCAAATAAAAGTGAGTTATAACTGAGGGGGGTACAATTCCAGGGGGGTACAATTCTGGTCCGTACAGTTTTTTTAGATGCCAGTAGATTTAATCAAACCACTCGTGCATAACAATATCAAAGTTTTATGAGGGGGGTACAATTCCAGCCCGTACACGCTGTTTTGGTCGAGAAAATGAGACGTCATCGTGACGTCACTAACCTGCAGGGGGTACAATTCCAGGGGGGTACAATTCCGCCACCCCTGTTTAGATTATGCATACTAGTAAACCAATTATTGCCATCTATAAAAAGAATTGGTTTTTCTTTTCCGAGTCGGATTAGCTCTTCTACCCGACCGATTTTCATAATTTTGGTCTTAAAAAAAAAGCTATGCAAGCATATATTTGTCATCAAGCATCATCATTCATTCATCTAATGTATTACTCGACGAAAAATATAGATTAAATTTTTTCGAATTTTTACTTAAATTAAAGATATACTAGTGTACCTGTTGCTCGAATTCGAGCAATTGCGAAGCATTACAGGCGTTATTTTAAAACGAATTACGGTCATAATATCCGATGACTTTATAAAAGTCGACTCAAAGATTATGGAAATACTCACGATGTACACAACCCCAGATAGATATAATCAAAATTGTTTGTAAATATCTTATCTATTTTCAAAAGCTGGTCTTGTTTTTTAGAGTTTTTTACCAAATGTTACCCACTCATAGCCGTATTAGGTTCTCTATAATAACGATTATAAATGAAGAAAAAAACATGATTTCTATTTCTTCTACTTGGTTGTGTTCTATGACTTTCTTATGTTTCCATTGTTTGCAAATCGGCTCTTTCAATGATTGCTCAAGAAATGTAGCACATTGTTAATTCAGGTTATTTTTAGTAGGCCTATATCAAATTGTACAGGATTTCTCGCTTTTTCCAATGAAATAGTTGCACCAACCCAAGTATCGTCTACAGATGCAATACGCCAAAGAATATCATCTACGTGTAACACGCCTACGTACAATCTCCAAGAAGTGGTAAAAAAAAGTCAGAAACCAACCCATAATAGACATAAGTTAACTCCATAAGAAATAATTTTAAGAGTTACTGTGATATTAGGATTTTCCACTGATTTGGTAATAGAACATTATATTGCAAAACATGACACGATGCAGAAGAAAATCGATTTTAAAATCAGAAAAAACCCATTGCAAATACTTTATTTTGACAAATTCAGTAAATCACAATTTAAATATTAACAGCTGTTTCATTAAACTGTATTGTAAAATTATACATATGGTCATAATGTAAACAAATCTGCTGAGGGGACTTTAAAAGCCCCTGGGGCAGAGCCCCAAGGGAATTTACCTCGTTTCTCTTTTGATGGCTCATCTACAGGACCAAGACCTTTCTTTTGAGACCCCTACCAAGTTTTTCCGCCCAGCCGTTCTCTGAAATTACCTGTGACAAAAAACCCGTTTTACCCCATAAGAATAACATGGGATGGGAATTTAAAGGCCACTGGGGCAGAGCCCCAAGGGAATTTACCACGTTTCTCTTTTGATGGCTCACCTACAGACCAAGCCCTTTCTTTAGACACCTCTACCGAGTTTCTACGCCCAGCCGTTCTCTCAAATTAGCTGTCACAAAGAAAAACAGTTTCATAATAATATATAGACTAGTGTACCTGTTGCTCGAATTCGAGCAATTGATTTCTCGCTTTTTTCTATTGTTATAATTACACCAACCCAAGTATCGTCTACGGATGCAATACGCCAAAGAATATCATCTACGTGCAACACGCCTACGTACAATCTCCAAGAAGTGGTAAAAAAAGGCAGAAACCAACCCATACAATAGACATTAGTTAACTCTAAAAGAAATAATTTTAAGAGTTACAGTGTAGGATTTTCCACTGATTTGGCAATAGAACATTATATTGCAAAACATGACACGATGCAGAAGAAAATCGATTTAAAATCAGAAAAAACCATTGCAAATACTTCATTTTGACAAATTCAGTGAATCACAATTTAAATATTAACAGCTGGTTCATTAAAAGTAGTGTAAAATTATCCATATGGTCGTAATGTAAACAAAACTGCTGAGTGAACTTTAAAGGCCTCTGGGCAGAACCCCGAGGAAATTTACCTCGTTTCTCTTTTGAGGGCTCACCTACAGACCAATACCTTTCTTTAGACTCATCTACCAAGTTTCTACACCCAGCCGTTCTCTCAAATTAGCTGTGACAAAAACATCGTTTTCCTCCATAAGAATGACATGGGATGGGAATTTAAAGGCCACTGGGGCAGAGCCCCAAGGGAATTCAACATGTTTCTCTTTTGATGGCTCATCTACAGACCAACACCTTTTTTTAGACACCCCTACCAAGTTTCTACGCCCAGCCGTTCTCTCAAATTAGCTGTCACAAAGAAAAACAGTTTCAAATTAATATATAGATTCCAGCAGTTCTAATTACATTACCCTATATTTTGTGGTCTAAAAACCTTAAAGTGAAATACCAGCTTTCATTTGAGCTATTGGTTATTTAGATCGGACTACCTAAAACACACTGCTGAATCACGAATCAACAATAATTATAATCGTTTTAGAACTTATCTGCAATAAACGATAGGTAACTCTATTTTTATTTAACTTATTTTATATAACTTGGTCTTAAAATACTTCTAGAAATAAAGGCTTTCATTTGAGATATTGATAGTTTTAATCATTTAAAATCAAGATACTATATCGCTCAATCAGAAAACACACATTTATTTATATTTTGGATATGGAATTTAGTTTTAGATATATTTACTCAATTCTAATTACAGTACGTTATCCTATTTGTTTTGACCTAAGAACCTTCAGTGAAATACCCGCTTCCATTTGAATGATTGATTATTAAGATCGGACGTACCTAAAGCGTGCTGCTAAATCATGAACAACCCAAATTGTTAAAAAAATTTAGTAATTTATCATCGATTTATAGTCAATCGATATTGCTTGCAACCTCAACAGTAACTGTCGACTTTGACGGGTTTAGCCTAGTAAATCTTAAAAAATCAAACCTTCATAATTATTTACAAATCTACATGAATTAGGCTTTACAATAATCTATTGATTAATCAAACCGGTTAAGTAGAACTGTAGATTTAATTGTACAAAGTTTAAAAACAACTTCATTAATTCAGTATTTTCTCACCACTATAATTTGGGAGGATGCTTAACGTTTTTGCAAATAACTTTTAAATGGTGAGGAAATCGACCAAAGTGAGGGTGATATTCTGAAAGAGAATAAAATTTCCTACAAATTGATACCATGCACTTCTTGGAAATGTTAAGAAAGACAGCACAAAAAGATACTAAAAAGTCGCACACAAATAAAAAGTGTGAAAAACATCATTTTTAATGTATTTCTTATGTCATGTTTTTTTACCATAAATCATGACAAAAACAAACTTTCGTAATTTTTTGCAAATCTACACGCATTAAGCTTTCCAACGACCCATTAATTAATAAAATCGGTCCAGTAGAACTCTAGATTTAGTTGTACAAAGATTTTTAAAACTGAATTATATAGAATAGATAGGTAATAATATAAATTAAACTGCATTGAAAATAAACTAACATAAACTACCTTTTTTCATACAAAGAGCAGTTTTGGTAAAAAATATTGGTTTAATCTGAATACCTAAACCTAATAAATAAACAGTAATAATAGTAATAGAGTAATAAACATCTGTTTAAAAAAAAAACCCAAATTATTAATGAAATAAAAATCTTTATTTTACGTTTGGCATATACATGCATCGACCATAGTCAATACAATAAACAATATAATACAGGTATATATTTTACAGAAATCAGAAAGTACACAGCAAACAAAACCAAAAGCAAGCCCATGCACAAAAACTTCTGGCAAAAATTAAAAAAGGCATATCTATCAAACATACATTTATATTATACATTTTTTGTTTAACATTTTAAAACAACAAGCAACATAAACTGGATTAGTTTAAGTGCGATTAAAGGGTTTTATTTACTGATACATTTACCTTTAGTCAGAAAGAGTCTGGTAGGTGGAATGGATTGTGCTTTACTAGCCGTTGGCTTAAATTTTATCAATTTATATAGTAATTCTGCACAATTAAAGTAACAACTGTAATAGTGATGGATATCATAATTATACACTTAAGCGTGTATTTATCACTAGCAAAAATAGTTTTCACATATTAGCTTATTACAGCCATCTGCCATGTCATAATTTATGACCAAGTGTTCAGAATTATAAAAAATATGGTTCCAAGGTCCGTGGGGCTGTTGACTAAGTTTGGTGGTTTGGCGTTAATTTCAGAAGGTTGTACTTCTGAGACCTATCAATTTAATTCATCGTAGATTAAAAGAACAAACATTATGCTATAATTGTAAAAATATTATACCTTATTATATATAAATTTATGTAGAGTATTTTATAACTAAATTTGGAGACCCGTGTGCAAATTGCACATTTTAATATGAGTTCATAACCTATTTCTGAGGCAAAACAAATAATGTAATAGCCTTTTCATTTTTAAAGATTGTTTGCTTAATGCAGTTATTAGGTCAATAGAACTACTAATTTACTGTACAATAAATTAAATTGGTTAATTTTACATCTACACCATTAAGTGTGATACCAGCCTCAGTCAACGATAAAAATGGGTTGTACCGTTGCTCCAATGGAGGTTAATATACAAAATTTTCATTAAAATAGGTTTAGCTGTAGTTTTATCAGATTTTTCGTTGTTGCAATAACTTTTAAAACGTATGCTAATTTTCACATCAATGGGGGTTATACCGTTCTAAGAGTTAAAAGGGTCGTGTCACACAACATTTTAATCAAATTCAATTTTGCTGTTTTTGTAAAATCCAATTTTCCGTTATTTTACGATTTTTATGGGAAAACCACCATTAAAATCAATATGTCAAAACACCTGGAGATACCATGGATATCTAACCCACATACTAGCACCATAGATAAAACATACTTGTGTTGGTTAGTCTTTGGTCTATGCCAGGACCCACATACCAAATTTCATCAAAATCGGACGACAGGTAGGTGTGCAGAGAATAAAACTGTTATCCACACTTACAGACGGACACACACATATATCAATTAAAAAAACCACTTTTTTGGGTTCAGGGGACCCGAAACGGATATTTCCACTCAAAACTCAAACTCGAATTTTTTTACGAAAACAATAGGTAGGCTAAACTTTCTCCGTTGTATATTAGGCGGAGAATGTAAAGTTGCATATTTTTATTTACATTTTTTTTTAGCTGTGTTTAAACATCCAACAGAACGACCAGCTCATAAATTTCATCGGTACCTTACCTGCGTATACTCAATATTCTTGCATAACATTTTAGTTTAATGTCTAGGGAGTTTAAATAACCTGGGTGTTTACCTCCTACCCCCCACGTGTTCCGGCTATGACGTCATCAATATGGCATTCATATTATAAACTAGCAGAGTACCCGTCCTTCGTACGGGGTTGTCGTATTAATTATAAAAATGCTTATTGCAGTTATACTCGTGCTTTGCATTTGCAATGGGAGAGGACACGGTTTGAGAAAATTCACATCCATAGTGTTCTACCACTACACATAAAAAACCCCCCCGCAGCAAACCTGCAGACTAAGCAAATTTCCATTTGCCTGGTTGGATTTACATTAAAATGTCCCTTTAAAATATCACATTTATTCCCTATAGCTGCTGTACCCGTGCTTTGCATGGAAAGAGAAATTGGAGATGAGAAACTTTACCTATTAATAACAAAAAATCTTATCAGTTAAATCTATCTTATAAAATAATGTAAGCATATAAAAAATTTAATTGATTTAAATTTAATATCATATTTAATAAAATAAGAGACATTTAACAATCGAAAAACTATATAAAAAATAGTGCTAGTCATCTGATTATCTTACCCATATTTTTTACTTTATGACAATGAATAATGCAATCAAACCCATAACAAAATAGCATACATATTGGTGCTCGATTAAAACTTTATCTTGTAGTATCTCGTCAGTGGAAAATGTCGATTGAAATTTGATTATGTTGAATGATGACTTTCCAGAGTGATTTTAAAACATTCAATACAAAAAATTGATTAATTGAACACAACAAAGAAGAGAAATAAAATACATTTTAAACCATAAACCAGTACCCCAAGAGGTATAGTAATTATAAGTGCATCACATAGGCCTACTAAATGAATGAAGTTGACCAAGCCATAAAAAAAAACAAAAAAAAACAGGAAGACAAAGAAAGATTTACATCTGGCAATTTTTGAATGGTGGGTAATAGAACAAATGATAAATACCTAATGACAAATAATAACAAATAATAAATAACAGTGGGAAATGACATATAAAAATAAACACTGGAACAGTTATGATCTGACCCTTGTTAACGAAGGGCTTCTTCGTAAACAACGTTGGCCGTTCGACCATTTGGAGCATGGAGGAATAAATTTCTCGATGATCGCACTCTAGAACATGCAACATATAGCTGTCCATGAGAAAAACATCCTGATTTATTTAATTCAACGCCAGCTGTCGACAGTGTCTGACCCTGAGCTTTGTTGATGGTCATAGCAAAGCATGACGGGAAACTGTAGGCGCTTAAATTCGAATGGGTAGTTGCTGGGGATTAATGGTATTCGGGGGATAAATACCACCTCCCCAGCTCCACATCCTGTCAGGATGTCTGCCTCGATGACATATCTGTGTAGCCGACGAACACGAAGCCGAGTCCCATTACACAGCTTCGGTGGATATAAATTACGCAATAGCATTATTGGGGCTCCAACTTTAAGTGTTAGCTCGTGAGCCGGCAATCCAGGGGCTGTGACAGAGTCTATGAACTCAGTAGGGTAGTGGACGGCGTCGTCCTGGCTGAGAACCGTGTTAACAGATGTATACGTCTGTTCTTCGCTGGTGAAAAGAGACATCACCTTGATGTTCAATTCGTTGGCCTGTTCGTTTGTTGGCGCCAAGATTGCTTTGTTACAGAGCCAGCCACTGTCCATATTTAATATACCTTCAATTCCTGGATAGACACTGTCAATGTGGTTTTGTTGAGATGTGACTATGGTGCCCAGAGACGGAGGAATGACAATGACTCCACTTTCATTTATCAGTGACCCATTCCCAACATGTAAAAGAACACTGGCGAATTCCTCCAAATCTGGTTCATTCCCTAAATTAACTCTCATATTCGTAGTTAATGAAAGACGATTTAGTCGGCCACAGCTTGGATCTCTTCAGAGAAGCATTTACTTCGTCAGCACGTGTTCCCCGCACGACAACAGGCAGAGTTTGTCTGAAATCTCCGGAGAACAAAACTGTTACTCCCCCCATTGTGTTATTACTCTCTCTTATATCTCTCAATGTCCTATCCAAAGCTTCGACTGACAATTTATTGGCCATCGTGCATTCATCCCAGACTATGAGTGAACATTCTCTCAGTAATTGGGCCATAGAGGAGTTTCTTGAAATTGCACATATCGGGAATTCCATATGGTCAACATTAATGGGAATTTTGAACATAGAATGGGCCGTTCTTCCACCAGGTAGAAGGGTAGCTGCAATACCTGAGGACGCCGTAGCCAAGGCAATTTTGCTAACACTTCTAACCTTAGCTAAAATTATATTTATTAAGAATGTTTCCCTGTTCCTCCAGGTGCATCAAGGAAAAACATATTGTTGTCCGTTGGATTCTCTGTACTGTAGATGACACGATCATAAACAATTCGTTGATCCTCTGTGAGTTGTGGTAAGTTCTGTGTGACAAATTCGTTCAGTTCAACTCGATCATAACAGGTCTCCTTTAGATAATCAAAGTTAAAATGGTTGTTTGCCGTGGCCGGAACAGGAAGTCCATAGCTATCTAGCTGAAGTCCTCCGATGGATGTGATAATTTCCTGTATCTTTGACAGGCACAGATCATAAAGGTTAGGACTGTTTTGAAATGTTATATTTTCATCCACCTGTTGAGCAGTCCTTAAGAAATCCTCCGACATAGAGTCTTTGAACAACGTCCATAGTTCGAGGGGATGACTCAAGTTACAAAAAACTACCAGCACACTGAAAAGGTCTCTCAGCTTGGAGGGACTGTCTGCGACGGCTGCCTCTCTCATTGTTGCTTCCCAACATACATCGTCCTCTAAAAGACCGAGAGCTCTGCAGGCAGACTGAAATGTTTCTTGCAATTCACCATCAACGGTCTTAAGGTCATCAAAAGATGTGGGACCTCGAACGGTGTGCAGAAGCAGTCGAAGATAGTATCGCTCGCTGCTGTTAGGATGGACAGTATACACTCTTCCTATGCAAGAGTCCTGTCTTACATCAGGATGTCCTGGCACTGGTGTTCCTCTTCGTCTCCTACTCCAACCTCTTTGTTTCGTGTACGTATAGTAGGAGGGAACTTCGTTGTAGAGTAAAGTCCTGGCAAAAGCATCAGTCTGACAAAGGTTGAAGAATGCCATGAGAGTAGTATCTTGTTCCATTCTGTCTCTCACATTATTTGGTTGAAAATAAACGTTTTGTTCATCGGGTAGGTGAACTTCCAAGTGCATTACAGAAGGGTATCTCTCATGAATAGGGAAGGACAACAACCTCCATACTGCCTCAGACGAACAAATGTACCTACCACTCTGGTATGTTTGAATTTCATCTGTGTCAACCATGGAAAATGTAGCTTGATCAGTGCCCTTATTGATGTATTTGCAGATGTATTTGATTGACTTTACACTGCTACAATATTCAACGTTGATGTGCGTTTCAAACATTCGAGACAATACAAGAGAGTACAGTACAAACCAACTATTATCCATTGCAATGTCTTCGTTCCCAACTTTAATAAGAACTTGTTGACCCCCATCCTCTGGAGCGCGTCTTCTGTATGTGGGATATCCATTGTCTGCCATAGTTGTTTCCTTAACAAACGTCCTAGGGTACCTTTTGCTGCAGTGGCCTTCTTTCATACAGGGAAGTCTCCGTTGCCTTACGTTAAAAGCTCCGCACGGGCCATGTAGCATGTGAGTCTTAACTATATCAGAAAGTATAGGATCATCCTCAGGGTTTGGCAACTCTGCGGAAATAACTTGATCAACTCTGTTAGGAGGAATAGGCTCTTCTAACCAAATCAGAATATGTGCATGAGGAAGGCCACGCTTCTGCCATTCCACCGAGTACATGTAGCATCGTACTGAGCCATATAACTGACCTCTAGTTAGAACCGTCATGAGGCTTTGCAGTTTGAGGTGGAAAACCCGGGAAACAATATCATATCGGTCCTGAGCAGTTTGCATTTCTGTAATCACATTGGTTATTTCTAGCCACTTTGGGTTGGTTGTCATTGTAATAAATAAGTCAGGACGCCCAAACTTTCGAACATAACAGAAAGCATCTTGAGTTCTTGAATGCATATACCTTGGTCCTCCAGTGAATGTAGATGGTAAAATTACTTTTCGTCCCATTTGCTCTACGTTGTCATCTCGTCTAAGAGCATCTTGGAGGTGTATGTAATTTTCTGCTCTTAACTCTTTTTGATGGGTTCGGACATATAGTAGCCTTTCACTCTCCACCTTTGCATACATGTCTACTAAGTACTGGTTTAAAAGCTGTTTAAAGTGGTGAATATGATTCGCGTCGTTTTCCCTTACCATTATGCGATACGCATAAAACTCCCGGGAGCTTGTTTTCTTGTTGGTTGGCTCTCTAGTATTTGGATCTACATGTTTCAAGTCGAAACTATAACCATCCTCACCTCTGCAAAACATAAGTGGGTACTGTAGGGCATCATATGAACGGTGAGTTTCGTAGATTCGCTTCAAACCATCTTCTCTTGAGTTCAAGATGATATCACGATTATCACTGGGGTCCCCGACCATCAACACAGCAACCTCACTGACCGTTGGCTCGTTATATCTGCCTGGGTGTTCTCCTGCAGGACATCTGTCAGCCCTAATAACAATTTTCAAATCAGGTAAGTCTAGAGGCAATGTTTCTAGCGCAGATTTAAAACTTAGTAAGTATGAGTTATTGTTTTTCAGCATTGTCTGCAATTCAGCTAATACATCAGGTTCAAGGTCTTGAAACAAATTTCGCCTTCTTTCAAGTTGATCCTGGTCATTTCCTACAAAATATATTTGTAAGAAAGATGGTGGCTGGCCAGGTGGTGGTAAAAGAGACCCAATCAGGTGATAAATTTGTCCCTGTATCTTGAATGTTGGCATATAGGCTCCTTCCCGGATCTCATTGCCTCCGAAGGATGTCATCTGGAAGGCACTGTTGTAAGCTCTGATATTTCTAAGAAAGTTTCTTGATTGAGGGGAATTTTCTGATATAAGAGACCGGAGAGGCTCGGGTGCCTCTAAAATAGGCGCAAGGGACACTTTACCTGAAGCACAGCATATTCCAGGTGGTTCTTTTTCCCATGTCAACGCATTACAAAATCTGCAAGCTTTATTGAATTCTCCAATATTTGCAGCTTGACTATAGTTTATATGCGGGTCATACAGGAATCCACTGTTGTGTTGGTTTTGCCAGCATATAAGGTTTCTGTTTGCGTGTCGTGTCCTCTCTTGTTCAAGCCTGTGACTTCTCTCTCGGGCAGTCTCAAGTTGCCGTGTTATACGATGTCTTTCAGCGTCTGCAGCCATTCGGGTATTTATTTCATCCTGGTGTTGATTGGTCCTGTGAAAATGAATACGATCGGATGAACTATTTAACATCAAATTGCGTTCATGTACACGCATTCGGTATCTCTCGTTATCAGATAAATGGCGATCTTCCTGCTGCTCCGCAGTTTCAACCTGTCGTCTCTTGTCTTGCCGCGCTCTGTCGTCTTGTCTCTTCGCCTGAAATAAAATAAATAAAAGTTAAATCTATGATTATATAAAATGTAAAAACTGTCATTGAAGGGTAAGTTTTTCAAAATTAAATGTGTAAAAACAGATTAAGGAACGCGGCAGCGTTCCGCCCCGCCAAGTCCCCCAGCGGTACACAGCTGCTGCAGTGTATATATACATGACGTGACAAAGTGGCTTTTTTACTCGTCTATAGCTCTGAAGAAACAAAAGCTATCAAAATAGTTATTCGTCTAATGGATAGGGGCACTCATTCTCAACAAAATAAAAAAAAATTTAAAAAACGGTTGTGTTTGAGCCAAGAAAAACTAGTTTGAAAATTCACAAATTTTCCGTGTTCTCCTTCTTCTCCTTAAATGTTGACGGACCTACAGCCCAAACCACTGGCTCAATTTTAAAGTTTTTTATGTTGTTTGAAAGCCCTTAACGTGTAGATGTGCCTTTTGAGGGTCTCAAGTCGGTGCGTTGACCCATAAACCCTTGGCAAGCCATCAAAGTACGATTTTTGCCCATTTAAATAACATGGGATTAAAATCAAAACAAAAGAAGGACCAGCTGCGATTAAATTTCAATTAATTTAAATGTTGGAGAAATTCATAGGAACAGCTGAAAAATTATTTTAAAACATTTATAAAGTATTTTTTCAGGTATACCGAATGATTTGAACTACTTACTATATAAAATTACTTAGAGCAGTGATATTCCCCGATACTTTCCATTGAAAAATGCAGTGTACAGCAGCTCGTCATTTTTAACAGTTTAATACTACTTATCAAAACATATGAAACCTAGGAACTTGAAACTTAGTACTAGTACTAAGGTTTGTTTTATGTTTGATACACTAAAACAAAATAAAACAATCGGGAAAATCACTTTACGTATGTTAAACAAGCAATTAAAAAGTGTTATGTAAATTTAGGATAAATGAGTTTTTCAATCTTTGTTTTGCCTTATGCTATTTCTAACACACCTAATCTGTTTGATTAAATTTTTACTTCTCTAATAAGGGCTCAATTTACACTAGTCTTTAGATATACGGGTTTAATTATCAGAACACTTATGTAACACCAACGCATTTTATGTTGTTCAAGATGACCATTAATGATATTTGAAACTGAGTTTAAGCCCAGGGGGTTTTAAATAGTAATTTTGGTACGTGTGTCAAAAAGTTTTTAATCGGTTTAAAGCAGATAAGACCAAAAATTTAGAATTTAGTTCTACACAAACAATATTATTGAAATTAAATGAGATGTAGTTGTGCCGTGGTCTATAGGCCTATATCAGAGAAAAGAGGATTTTTATTTTAACTGTTAATTTTCTACAAAAATAAATAAAATCTAACAAAAAACCACTAAGTGGTAACACTTTCCCCGCCAAGTCAGCAATCCAAAAAAGATAATAAATCATTACTTTTCCGCCAAGAAAACAATGTAATGTATGTAAGTTTGGCAACTTGGCGGCAGACTTTTGCTCGATCACTTTAAAAATACCATAAAACTAGTTTCATTGAGCAAGTATCTCTCCCATTAGTACATTGCTAGGTGAGAGCTTATTTTACAAAACTTGACCTTATTTGTGCCACATTTCATAAAATCATAATAGTGATGGTTTTATATTTACTGATTACCTCGAAATTATTATACTTAGTTGGACTAATTAATTAGAGAAGTTGATTTGTGAAATTATCCACAAACGTAACTTAAATGAAAAAAAAAAACCAAGCAAAAGTCTGCCGCCAAGTTGCCAAACTTACATACATTACATTGTTTTTCTTGGCGGAAAAGTAATGATTTATTATCTTTTTTGGATTGCTGACTTGGCGGGGAAAGTGTTACCACTTAGTGGTTTTTTGTTAGATATTTCTATATTGTAAAGCGTTCTAAAGTTTGAACATTTCTAGTAATGTAAAACTGATTTGATTTAATAAATAGTCTTAAACTTTTGTCATTTTGTGTAACCGTATAATACTTTTGACCAGGTAATAAGTGACCCCCTCAGCCCAAGCCAGGCCAGGGTTAGTAAATAAGATGTTATATAATGACTCACCTCACGCTCCTCTTCAGTCTCGTTTTCTCTATTCAATCTTTGTCGCACTCTGCCATCTTCTCTTCTAGCCTAAAAAATAAATAGGCCTACATAAATATGATCTATATCTGTAACGCATAAGAATTTGTGAAAATTACCCTTGGAAAAGCGTTCTTTTAACGTGTTGAAAGAAATTGTAGTATGACTGAAACTGAAAAACACTGAAAAATATTAGTTTTTTTGTAGCATTTAGTCATAACATATCCAATATTTATAATTTTTTTTTAACTTTAAACTATGTAAAATAGTTCACATATAAATTTATAGCCTACATATTTTGATGTTATATTTAGAGTTAAAATCTCTATCGTAAAATAGTTTGAACTGTCCAGGCGTAAGGTCAACTTAAGGTCTATGCTAGTGTCAGGATAAATAAATTGTCCAATTGTCTCACCTCACGCTCCTCTTCAGTCTCGTTTTCTCTATTTAATCTTTGTCGCACTCTGTCCCCTTCTCTTCTAGCCTGAATAAACAAATAAAGGTTACTATGTCTGTAACATAAAATACACCCGTACAAATAATTTTCTGTTAAATTAAAACCATTAGGTAAAAAAGATATTTAAAATTTAATGATTAGTAATAAAGTTCCCAAAATTGGTTATTTCTTGAAACTATGTAAGATACTTTACAATTAAATGTCTCACCTCACGCTCCTCTTCAGTCTCGTTTTCTCTATTCAATGTTTGTCGCACTCTGTCCTCTTCACGTCTAGCCTAAATAAACAAATGAATAAATATTATCTATGTCTGTAACATAAAACAATCCGTATAAATTACCCTTGGAAAAGTGTTCTTTTTGAAGCGTTGAAAGAGTTGGTAGTAGGCCTAAAACTAAAACACATTGAAAAAAATTACCTTTTTTATGTAATATGATTCTGAGCAATGTAAAGACAAAACTCTAATTTTATATTTATTTATATAGATTTATCTCATAGAATCTCAAAAATGTGTTATCTTGTGAAACTATGTAAAATAGTTGAACCGATTTTGGCGTGAGAGTGGTTTTTAGGTCCAAGCAGGGGTTCAGTAGGTATATATTATAAATTGTGGAATCGCCTCACCTCACGCTCCTCTTCAGTTTCATTCGCTCTATTGAGTTTTTTTCGCACTCTGTCAACTCCTCTTCTTGCCTAAATAAATAAATAAATATAAGTTATGTTTGTGGAATGTATTGTAAAGATTAAATTATCCTTGAAAACACATCCTTTTTAGCATACAGAGAGTAATCTAATATATAAAATTCTCGTGTCACAGTGTTTGTCTGCAAACTCCTCCGGAACGACTTCACCGATCGTTATGAAATTTGGTGTGTAAATTCTGTAGGTATGCGAATAGGAAGTAAACTATTTCCCGTTTCGAAATTCTTAAAAGGGCTCCGCCCCAGTGGCTCTGGAGTTTCCCATGTTAACCTTATGAGAAATGGAATTAATGAATCTTAACAGCTGTTTCAATTAAATAGCATTAAAGTTACAAGGATTACCAACAGGGTGCAGCACTATTATTTCTTTTACATTTATGACAACAGCTAATTTGCAACCAAAAGGTGAGTGAGCGTAGCGAACGAACTTCAACCTGGAGGCGAGTGAGCGTAGCGAACGAGCTAACCTGAAGGCAAGTGAGCGCAGCGAACGAGCTCCAACCTAAAGGTGAGTGAGCGTAGCGAACGAGCTCCAACCCAAAGGTGAGTGAGCGTAGCAGACGAACTTCAACCAGGACGTGATTGAGCGATGCGAACGAGATCATCTTGAAAATTAAACGTAACGGTACTTTCTTTCCATCGGTCTGTCTTAGGGGAAACCTATAACTTAGGCGATACGAAGTTCGCTGGGTCAGCTAGTGTTAGTATAACGGAGGGTCTAATCTATAATAAATATACTATAATTATATCGAAGTAAGAAGTATTTGTTTTATATTGATGAAATAGTTAGTCTTTAAATCTTCAAAATTTTTCATTTGTGCAGGCTAACAAAACTGCATTAATATAAAACTGTTAACCCTGTTCTGGTCTAGGAGCGGACTTAAGGCCCAATTCGGCAGATCAGAATAGAAAATAAACTCTCAAATTGCCTTACCTCAATCTCTTCTTCAGTCTTATTTTCTTTATTTAAGTTGTGCCACAATCTGTCTTTTTCTTTCCTTGCTTCCCGAACATAGGTGATCTCCATCCGCCTTTTTTTCTTTTGAAGATTTCGTTTTTTCTCTAGTCGGTTCTTTCTGTTTTGAGTAGGCCTAGTTTCATTTTGTTTTGCTCGGTAATTATATAAATTGTCTGTTCTCCGACGGATATCCCTCTCCTCTTGGGATTGAGTTGTTCGAGAGAGTTTGTGACTCTCTCTATCTCGAGCCAACCGCTGTTCTCGATCTGCATCAGTTTGTTTTGCTCTGAAGCGAGCCACCCGCTGTTGACTTGTGGAAGGTGTAAAGTTTTCGGAAAATGTCTCATCTCGGGATGTGATGGAAGGTTGAAAACTGGCGGAAGGTTGAGAGCTGGTGGAAGGTTGAGAGCTGGTGGAAGGTTGAGAGCTGGTTGAAGGTTGAGAGCTGGTGGAAGGTTGAGAGCTGGTTGAAGGTTGAAAGCTAGTGGAAGGTTGAAAACTGGCGAAAGGTTGAAAGCTGGTGGAAGGTTGATTAACTTCTAAACTCTGAGACTTTCTTCTCCTTTTTGAATCCTGAGAGAGTCTTCCTACATTTGCACAAACAAAATAAATTTATGTAAAAAGACTAAATCATTATGTTGTGAAATGAAAACAATCACGTAAAAAATTTGAATATTGAAAAAACTTAATTGAAACAATTCAATCAAGTCATTCGAATGTGGAATGTAAACAAATCTTGTCACTACAATATAAATAATAAAAAAACATCTGTTCTAGAAAAAACATATGTGATCCACGAATATTAAAACAGAAACGGTATGCATCATTAAAAAACAAATGACGCAACTGGAATCAAATCATGCTGACGTGAAATGTAAACAAATCTTGACACTACAATATAAATATAAAAAAAACATCTGTTGTAAAAAACAAATGTTATCCACGAATATTAGATCAGAAACGGTATGGATCATAAACGTAAGCAAAATTATGTTACTGGCCCGAATAATATGATAATAATATTAAAATATTGTTCAAAGTATTCATTTTAAGTAATGTTTAAAAATATAGTGTGTTTTGGTTATGATACATACCGTTTCTGCTTCAATATTAGTGTATATATATTACCCTAGGCTGTTTTTTGCAGCAACGATACAAAATGAACCCATCGGTGGTCGTAACCATGTCGTGGTGTAATGGATAGCGTATTCGACTGTTTTTCAAGAGGTGTCCAGATCGAATCCCACCGATGACACTAACTTTTTGTCAAAGATTTTGCTTAGAATGCGATTAACTTACTTCTTAACTGTACTGTACATGTTCTCTTAGAGTTTGAGGCATTTATAGTCCATAATTCGATTATTATCTAATATCTTTTTTATATTATCAGCAAGTTTGGTTGGTATGGTTATGACAGTTTGATTTTATATTAAAGGATTGGGTAGACCTACGCACCAATAGAAGATGGCTCATAGGTCTATTGATGGAATGGTCTAATGAAGGCAGCGCAATAGCGGTGATAAGTGACATATTGGAAAAGTGAGATTAGCTGGAAAAAACACTGTAACGTTGACAACGAAATCGTAAAGGTCTTCCGGGGTCGCAGCAACACCCTCGATCACCCACTGTAGTAATTATTTACTTGATAGAACAGCGATCGAAACGCCTTTAATGAGTGGAAATCTCGATTGTAGGCTATTAGTGGCGAATATTTAAAAATTTGTTTCCCAGTCTTATACAACACTGATTTGCTGTATTCAAAACTTAAGTTGAATTTTATAGACATAGAATCTGCAGGTTCTTGACCTGGATGTGGATGATGATTAATTTAATTTACAGTTAACATTATAGTACTTGCGATCGATTAAATCCGTTATGCAAGTCAAAAGGTCAATTAACGTACTTGGTTCCTCAATGAATGGTTTTCGATTTGCGTACAAAATGTGATTAGAAATGTTGCAGTATTTGTAAACAAAATGTAATGTAAACAATTAAACATATCAGTGACAGCTAGAAGTGAGAATTGATCCAAACAGCTGTTCGTTATTTCATAAAATGTAATAGTAAACTTTAGAAGAAAACTTGACAAAAATCGAACAAAATTGGGTTTTTGATGGTTTGTTATTTTGTTTTCAAAGAAGCGAGGCCATGTTTTTATAGCCTAAGACACTCTCACTAATTCAGTAAATGCAGAAAAATGATTAGAACCTTGATCGGTACTCTAGTTTTCTAGGAGTAGGCCGCGTAAAATGACATATTGGCGTTACAGACCGAGTCACAGAATGGACAGACAGACATACAGACAGAAATTGAGATAAGACTCGTTTCGGCTTTCTTAGGCTATGAAACGTAAAAATAACCAAAAACTGCATGATTCTAAGCAATGTACAGACAAAACTGTAATTTTATTTATATAGATTACTAGCTGGCCCGACAGACGTCGTCCTGTCCTATGTGGTTTTATGTCAAATGCTCGTCCATTTTCAAGATGAGCTCGTTCGCATGGCTCAATCACGTCCTGGTTGAAGTTCGTTCACTACGCTCACTCACCTTTAGGTTGGAGCTCGTTCGCTGCGCACACTTGCCTTCAGGATAGCTCGTTCGCTACGCTAACTCGCCTCCAGGTTGAAGTTCGTTCGCTACGCTCACTCACCTTTTGGTTGCAAATTAGCTGTTGTCATAAATGTAAAACAAATAATAGTGCTGCACTCTGTTGGTAATCCTTCTAACTTTAATGCTATTGAACATCATAGAACAGAACCAACTTGTTTAATTGAAACAGCTGTTAAGATTCATTAATTCCATTTAAATATGAGTACTCATAAGGTTAACATGGGAAACTCCAGAGCCACTGGGGCGGAGCCCTTTTGACGGATCTGCACCAAACTTCACACAAACCATCCTTGAATAATGCTTAATAATGCCTGAAAGTTTCATTACAATTCGTTGAGCGGTTTCGGAGTCCATAAAGGACAAACAAACAAACATACATTAGATATTATATATATGATGACTGACGAGCTGGCTCGACAGGTGTCGTCCTGGCCTAATGTGGTTTTATGTCAAATTCTCGTTCATTTTCAAGATGAGCACGTTCGCATGGCTCAATCACGTCTTGGTTGAAGTTCGTTCGCTGCGCTCACTCACCTTTAGGTTGGAGCTCGTTCGCTGCGCTCACTTGCCTTCAGGTTAGCTCGTTCGCTACGCTAAATCGCCTCCAGGTTGAAGTTCGTTCGCTACGCTCACTCACCTTTTGGTTGCAAATTAGCTGTTGTCATAAATTGAAAAAAATAATGGTGCTGAACCCTGTTAGTAAACCTATTAACTTTTTAATGCTATTAAACATCATAGAATTAAATTCTTTAGTTGAACCAGCTGTTAAGAATTTTTAATTCCATTTAAATATGAGTAGGTACTCATAAGGTTAACATAAGAAACTCCAGAGCCACTGGGGCGGAGCCCTTTTGCCGGATCTGAACCAAACTTCACACAAACCATCCTTGAATAATGCTTAACTAGTGAACGTGTTGCTCGAATTCGAGCAATTGCATTACAGGCGACTCAAAGATTATGGAAATACTCATACAATCTACACAACAGTTAGATACAATCAAAATCTTTTGTAAATATCTTATCTTTTTTCAAAAAGCTGATCTTGTTTTTTTTTTAGTGTTTTCTACCAATTTTTCCCTCTCATAGCCGCATTAAAAAAAACAACATTATTTATATTTCTTCTACTTGGTTGTGTTCTATGACTTTTTCTATGTTTCCATTGTTTGCAAATCGGTTATTTCAATGATTGCTCAAGAAATGTAGAACAGTGTTAATTCAGTTTTATTTTTAGCCTATATCAAATTGTCCAGGATTTCTCACTCTTTTCCATTCTAATAATCACACCAACCCAAGTTTCGTCTACAGATGCAATATGCCAACGAATATCACCTAGGTACAATCTCCAAGAAGTTGTAAAAAAGGCAGAAACCAACCCATACAACAGATATAAGTTAACTCCATAAGAAATAATTTTAAAAGTTACTGTGATATTAGGATTTTCCACTGATTTGGTAATAGAACATTGTATTGCAAAACATGACACGATGCAGAAGAAAATCAATTTTTAAATCAGAAAAATCCATTGCAAATACTGTACTTCATTTTGACAAATTCAATAAATCACAATTTAAATATTAACAGCTGTTGCATTAAAGAGTAGTGTAGAATTATGCATATGGCCGTAATGTAAACAAATCTGAAGAGGCAACTCTAAAGGTTTCTGGGGCAGAGCCCTAAGGGAATTTACCTCTTTCCTCTTTTGGTGGCTCATCTACAGACCAAGACCTTTCTTTAGAGACCCCTACCAAGTTTCTAAGCCCAGCCGTTCTCTCAAATTGGCTGTGACAAAAACCCCGTTTTCCTCCATAAGAAAAACATGGGATGGGAATTTAAAGGCCACGGGGGCAGAGACCCAAGGGAATTCACCATAATTCTCTTTTGATGGCTCATCTACAGACTAAGACCTTTCTTTAGACACCTCTACCGAGTTTCTACGCCCAGCCGTTCTCTCAAAATAGCTGTGACAAAGAAACAGTTTCAAATTAATATATAGATACCTGAAAGTTTCATTACAATCTGTCGAGCGGTTTCGGAGTCCATAAAGGACAAACAAACATACATACATACAAACATACATACAAACAAACATACATTGGATTTTATATATATATATAAGCCAGGTAATTGGAATATATTACAATCGGACTATGGGAACGGGGGTTTATGGGGGGTTTTATGGGGTAAAATAGTTTTTTCCCATTTTTGACCCTAAAAACACAAAATTTAACAAATTATTTCCAAACCATTTTGTAGAGCTTAAAAAAAATAATTTAGTGTATTGAAGCGTTACCATGTGCCTAATGGTTACGGAGAAAATTCCAAAAAATTGTAAATTTAAAATTCCCATGTTATTCTTATGAAGACTTTTTCAACTGTTGTAGTTTGCTTGTTTGATCAAATTTGGAAAACACATTTATTTCTATTTTTAAGGAGGCATTTTAGTGTAAAAGTAAATCCAATCAGACTAATGGAAATTCGCTTAGTTTGCAGGTTTGCTGTGGCAGGGTATTTTAAAAGTATATATTTCGTAAACTATTTGTCGGATCGGGATGAACTTTTTTTGTTGAAAGATAGGTTTCATGCTATCTTTCTTACATTTACACATTTGTTGTATGTTTATACATTTTTCGTAATTTTGCAAAACACCGTATTTTTTAAATATGTGTTATTTTTGTTTGTAACGTTTTATTGATACAATATATCAAAAACAAACCATACAAAAGGTTATATTAACGTTTAAAGAGATTTACAAATATACCCTATTTGATATGCTTTACTCAAAAGATTACGTCAAGAAACTATATATATCTCACAAAAACACCTAATTTGGCGCAAACGCCTATTAGTCCAACATCTAGGGCTGTGTGCAAGTCATATATAGAAGGCTTTACCATTTAATGTCGATGTAGGTGTCCAAAGAAGTGTTTTTAACTCGGGTTTCACGTCTGAACCCACTGCATTTTCCGTTTATAACTTATGGCGTCGTTAAAATTTCTTAAAATTCAAACATGTTTTAAAAACTACTCTAACCCAGGCTTGACTGTATAAACATGAAGAGTACTTTGGTTTAGAGTTTTAGATATTTTAGTTGCCAGAGCCATATTGATTGTTTTGTTTTTCTTTTGACGATTGTCATGAACTTTGTACATAGTTTTAACGACAATAAATCATTTCATTTCATTGGTCTAAAGGAATGTTCCCACTATATATATATATATATATACCCCCGCCGCAGCAAACCTGCAGATTAAGCGAATTTCCATTTGCCTGACTGAATTTCTACTAAAATATTCCCTTAAAAATGTCAGATTTATTTCTTATTTAAATGACAATAATTGTAATGAGTACTTAGGTTTGCTGGTTCAGGAAGTGTATTGAGGTGTGTGTTTTTTTTTTATTGAAAAGGTGATAGCTTAGTATGAAATAAATAAAATGGCACAATTTGATTAAAATATATCCATAAACAAGCAATATACAACAGTCTATTTATTCTCCATAAGAATAAAATGGGAATTTTAAATGTATACTATATTTTTTAATTATCTCCGTAACCGTTAGCCATATATAACAACGCTCAAAAATACAATTTTGTTTCTTTTTTAAGCTCTACAAAATGGTTTGAAAGGAAATTGTGAAATTTTGTGTTTTAGGGTAAAAAATAGGAAAACACAATTTTTACCCCATAAAATCTCCAATATACCCCTGTTCCCATAGTCCGATCAAGCTGGTTCGTGAACTCGTTCGAATAAACGTAGGTTTACACGTTTGTACCAAATTGTCAAAATTTCATCAAAATCGGATCATTTTTGCTCGAGTTATCGTAGTAACGGACACACATATAAAGATATAGTACCTGGGGACCGAGCTTTGCTCGGGGAAAATCATTAGTTCACTCTGAAAGCACCTTAGTATTGGAGATGCATAAATCCATTCCCAAACTCCACACGGCTCGCCTTCACCACCATTTCCTACGTCATGGACCTGTTTCCCTCCATTCCCATAACATTTAAAGATTGCAAATACCTTAATCTAATCGTCATAAATAGTTCCCACACTCCGGACTCCTCGCCTTGACTACTTCCTTCACCACTTCCTACGTCGCGGACCTGTTTCCCTCCCTTTCCATAGCATTTTAGGATTGCAAATACTTTAATCTAATCATCATAAACAATTCCCACACTCCGGACTACTCGCCTTGACTACTTCCTTCACCACTTCCTACGTCGCGGACCTGTTTCCCTCCCTTCCCATTGCATTTTAGGATTGCCCATACCCTTATCTAATCGCCATAAACAGTTCTCACACTCCGGACAGCTCGCCTTGACTACTTCCTTCACCACTTCCTACGTCGCGGACCTGTTTCCCTCCCTTCCCATAACATTTTAGGATTGCCCATACCCTTATCTAATCGTCATAAACAGTTCCCACACCCACGACAGCTCGCCTTGACTACTTCCTTCACCACTTCCTATGTCACGGACCTGTTTTCCTTCCTTTCCATAACATTTTAGGATTGCCCATACCCTTATCTAATCGTCATAAACAGTTCCCACACCCAGGACAGCTCGCCTTGACTACTTCCTTCACCACTTCCTATGTCGCGGACCTGTTTTCCTTCCTTTCCATAGCATTTTAAGATTGCGGACACCTTAATCTAATCGTCATAAAAAGTTCCCACACTACGGACTACTCGCCTTGACTACTTCCTTCACCACTTCCTACGTCGCGGACCTGTTTTCCTTCCTTCCCATAGCATTTTAGGATTGCAGATACCCTAATCTTATCGTCATAAACATTCCCCACACTCCGGACTGATCGCCTTCACTACTTCCTTCATCACTTCCTACGTCACGGACCTGTTTCCCTCTATTCCCATAGCATTTTATGATTGCCTTTATTACTTCCTTCACCACTTCCTATGTCGCGGATCTGTTTCCTTCCCTTCCCATAGCATTTTAGGATTGCCCATACCCTTATCTAATCGTCATAAACAGTTCCCACACTCCGGACAGCTCGCCTTGACTACTTCCTTCACCACTTCCTACGTCGCGGACCTGTTTCCCTCCCTTCCCATAGCATTTTAGGATTGCAGATACCCTAATCTTATCGTCATAAACATTCCCCACACTCCGGACTGATCGCCTTCACTACTTCCTTCTGTTTCTGGTACCTGGGGACCGAGCTTTGCTCGGGGAAAATCATTAGCTGAAAGCACCTTAGTATTGGAGATGCATAAATCCATTCCCAAACTCCACACGGCTCGCCTTCACCAGCATTTCCTACGTCATGGACCTGTTTCCCTCCATTCCCATTGCATTTAAAGATTGCAAATACCTTAATCTAATCGTCATAAACAGTTCCCACACTCCGGACTACTCGCCTTGACTACTTCCTTCACCACTTCCTACGTCATGGACCTGTTTCCCTCCATTCCCATTGCATTTAAAGATTGCAAATACCTTAATCTAATCGTCATAAACAGTTCCCACACTTCGGACTACTCGCCTTGACTACTTCCTTCACCACTTCCTACGTCGCGGACCTGTTTCCCTCCCTTTCCATAGCATTTTAGGATTGCAAATACTTTAATCTAATCATCATAAACAATTCCCACACTCCGGACTACTCGCCTTGACTACTTCCTTCACCACTTCCTACGTCGCGGACCTGTTTCCCTCCCTTCCCATTGCATTTTAGGATTGCAAATACCTTAATCTAATCGCCATAAACAGTTCTCACACTCCGGACAGCTCGCCTTGACTACTTCCTTCACCACTTCCTACGTCGCGGACCTGTTTCCCTCCCTTCCCATAACATTTTAGGATTGCCCATACCCTTATCTAATCGTCATAAACAGTTCCCACACCCAGGACAGCTCGCCTTGACTACTTCCTTCACCACTTCCTATGTCGCGGACCTGTTTTCCTTCCTTTCCATAGCATTTTAAGATTGCGGACACCTTAATCTAATTGTCATAAAAAGTTCCCACACTACGGACTACTCGCCTTGACTACTTCCTTCACCACTTCCTACGTCGCGGACCTGTTTTCCTTCCTTCCCATAGCATTTTAGGATTGCAGATACCCTAATCTTATCGTCATAAACATTCCCCACACTCCGGACTGATCGCCTTCACTACTTCCTTCATCACTTCCTACGTCACGGACCTGTTTCCCTCTATTCCCATAGCATTTTATGATTGCCTTTGTTACTTCCTTCACCACTTCCTACGTCGCGGATCTGTTTCCCTCCCTTCCCATAGCATTTTAGGATTGCCCATACCCTTATCTAATCGTCATAAACAGTTCCCACACTCCGGACAGCTCGCCTTGACTACTTCCTTCACCACTTCCTACGTCACGGACCTGTTTCCCTCTATTCCCATAGCATTTAATGATTGCCTTTATTACTTCCTTCACCACTTCCTATGTCGCGGACCTGTTTCCTTCCCTTCCCATAGCATTTTAGGATTGCAGATACCTTAATCTAATCTAATCGTCATAAACAGATCCCAGACTTCGCACTGCTGCCCTTGACCTTGACTACAATCATAGATAAAACCATAGACTATAAAACATACTCCCTACAATGTATCGAGTAATCTTCAGTATAATCTTTGCTAAATATTATGCTAATTATTAAGTGATGTTTTCCTTTTGCACTGTATTTGTAATTTTACTTTCTCCCCCTATACCATAGTATATGGAGAAAGTATTGTTTTCGTCAAAATTTTCGAGTTTGAGTTTTGAGTGGATATATTCGTTTTGGGTCCCCCTGGACCCAAAAAAGTGGTTTTCGAAGTGATGTCTGTGTGTGTGTGTGTGTGTGTGTGTGTGTGTGTGTGTCTGTGTGTCTGGATGTGTACAGAGCTAGAGACTACACCTGTGGTCCGATTTCGATGAAATTTGGTATGTAGGTTCTAATCCATGGTATCTCCAGGCGTTATTTTCATTTTTTAGAAATTTTGATTTTTAATGGGGATTTTCCCATAAAAACCCATAAAAACCGGAAAAATCGGATTTTCTCAAAAACGGCCCGAACGATTTTGATTAAAATTTAGTATGTTGTAGCCCTTTAAATTTTGAACAAAATGGTACAAATCCCATTTCTGTAAAAATTACGGTTCAAAAGTTATGGTAAATTATGTTATTTTCCCATAAAAACCACATAAAATAACGAAAAATAGGATTTTAGACAAAAATCCAGTTTTGATTTAACATAGTAGGTTATGGTCCTTACAATTTTGATAGTTTTTTTCCATTTTTTAGAAATTTTGATTTTAGATGGGGATTTTCCCATAAAACCCCATAAAATAACGGAAAAATTTGATTTTCCCAAAAATGGCCCGAACGATTTTGATAAAAATTTAGTATGTTATAGTCCTTTATATTCTAAACAAATAGGTACAAATCCCTTTTCTGTAAAAATTACGGTTCAAAAGTTATTGTAAATTATGTTATTTCCCCATAAAACCCCATAAAATAACGGAAAATCGGATTTCCCAAAATTGGCTCGAACAATTTTGATAAAAATTTAGTATGTTATAGTCCTTTAAATTCTGAACAAAATTGTACAAATCCCATTTCCGTATATTTATTCTCACCGTTTACACATGATAAAGGTTGTTGACAAACTTATGGGAGAAAGTATGTGTCAGAATGCTGATACCGTTTATTCTAGTATACGAGTGTTGTATATCGTTGACTGTGGGTAGTTGGCTTACTATGAACACATGCTACAACTTCAAGTCTTTTTGTTTACTTTATCCTTGTTATTTAATTCATCCAACATGGTTACCTAGCAACCCATAAGACTAATGTTAAAAAAATGTGATTTTCAGTTTCATTTTTCTACGTAATTAGATTTTTGTTGGCAGTTCTAACTGCATGAAACTCGTTTTTAGGCCAAAAATAAACTATTTACAAGATTTGAAGAAAATCGTCGGAGCCGTTTTCGAGATCTTTCTGCAAGCAAGCAAGCAAGCAAGCATACAAGCAAACATTGCTCGTATTAGAGTATAGGATATATATGAATTTGAACGGAGGGTGTTTTTGGCCTCTGGGGACCTCAAAACGAAAAAGTAAATCGGTCCCGGGTCTAGGTCTTACCATGAGACCTACGGTAATATCTTATCTTACTAATATTATAAATGTGAAAGTTTGTGTGTTTGTTTGTCCCTATATCGGAAATTTGCTAAAAAGTTAAGTTATCATTGTGTATCAAACAGCTTTTTGTTGATAGTTGGTTCAAATTAGCTGTTGTCATAAATGCAAACAACAAAAATAAACCAACACGCAAACTTTCACATTTTTTTTTTTTTTCAACGCCAGTGGCATTTTACGAGAGTTAAATGTTTTTGTGGATGTGCCGGGGATTGAACCCGTCCCTCCCGCACCGAAGTCCGAGACGCTAACCACTAGGCTAGCAACACAAACAAAATATATCATTACATTTACATTTATAGGCCTAATATTGGTAAGATTATTAATAGATGAACAGTATTCAAAACTATTGTTCATTCTTATAAAATATCATGGTGGAAGGAAAATACATTGGATTTAGATTACAAATATTTTTATATTAATTTATATGCATGTACCAGATGTAGTTACCGGTAATGTATTTTAGTTCTCAACAGCCCACGTGTTGGCAGTCCTGAGTGCGTTGAACCCTCCGGAGTCCGGATTACGGTTGCGGAATAAAAATTTACGTGAGTGAAATGGTGTTTGATAATAATTTATTTTGACATGTAATATACTTAATCATAAATAAGTAGAGTGATAGCATGTAAATATGTAATTTCCAAACCAAATTCGAGAAACAATAGTCAAGTTTGATACGAACATGAGCCACAGGCGCATTACCCCCTACGGTCCTTTTCACACGAGTGACGCTAGGATAGTTTAAAACAGGATTTTTGGAACAGTATGAAGGAGATGGTAGGTGGATGCTGTGTTTGTTCAGACGATAGAGGATGGGCAGAGAATCCCCTAGTATATTGTGATGGTCAAGGGTGCACAGTTGCAGTCCATCAAGGTAAGAAGCTGGGTTCCAAATTGTAGGTTATTTCAGTGTTTACCCTCACACCACCTTAGTTCTAAGCTTCATGTTTATTGTATTTATCTAGGCTTACTCATTTTTGTGTTTAAAATTTTGCACTAGAAACTTTTACAGTAGGCCTTTCTATTTATAATTGTATTGTATTCATTGTCAACTACAGGTTGGAACTTGCATTTACAGTAAGATGTTCTGTAGGCCTACCTAGGCCTTGGACCTGATCTGTGGCAATGGCATTTTTGTTTACGCAGAAGATACGCGTCCGGTAACCGGACGTGGATTAGGCGTCCGGCTGTTACTGTCATAACTTAACCTAACCAACCAAACTTAGTGATAAATTAAAAAAATTTAATAAAGGTTAACTTAAATTCTGCTTTTTAAAAACAAATTATTAATGCAAAAAATTCTAACAAAAGACGTGCAGTTAAGAAGAATTGTCATTCAAAGCAAAATCTTTGACAAAATGTTTATGGGATTCAAACCAGAGACCTCTTGCATATCAGTCGTGCACTGTATCCACTACTGTATCCACCCCGAACACTGATGGCTGTACATCGTATTAATGTGGTAATGGCGTTCCGGGCCCCCACAACCCAGTGACGTCACTGCCCGATGCCTAATCCACGTCCGGTAACCGGACACGTAAGTTATCCTCTGTGTTTTTTTTTTTTTTTTTTTTTAAGATTCACAGTAACTAGGCCTAAGGCTTACTTAAGTTACTTACAGTTTGATAAGTTATTGGACTGAAAGCAATAGTATGTGCATGTGAATCGGGCTTCTCCCTTAACTTAACACAATAGCCTAAGGTTAGCTTAGGTCCTGTTGTTGCTTCAATTCAGTGTACAGTAAGCTATATAGGCCTAACAATCAACTTAAAGTCGAACCATTTAGCCTAGGTACTGTATAAAGTGAACAAGTAACTTAAGATATAGCTTATTTGGGAGAAAGCTCACTGACTGAAAATGATAAACAAGAGCATAGGCTAAATATTCTGAAAAAATCGGTCTTTCTTTTGTAGGCTATAATAACTTAGTTAAAACGTATTGTGCAAGGCAGAGCTGAAATAAGTTAACTAGTTCTAGGAGGTCAAGGAGCCAAGATATGATACACTTAGCACATTAATACTAGGCTAACTTAAATACAGCATAGGCTACAAAAGAAAAGGCCATTCAGATGTACCTACCATTAAGCCATGACTCTAGTGAGTTTTTTTAAGAGAGAGGTACGCCTGTAATTAGATGATGTGCCACTGGAAGCGTAGGCCTACAACAATGAAGAACACATTCCTTGCCTATGCTTGATTTTGCTGAGGACTATCATGGAACTGGTTTCCTCCTATCTTTTGCTAAAAACCCATATGACACAGCTGCATCACTAAGAACTGTGTGTTTGCTGCTCATACGAACATATATTGGTCCTCGTTCTATCGAGAAGTCCTTGTACATCATGCCAACCAGTGCTCGGAGAAACTCTGTGGGCCAATCATAATTGTGGAAATTGGCGATGCCAAGTTTGGACAAAGGAAGTACATCCATGGTCGTAGGGTAGAGGGCCAGTGGGTCCTCGGCAGCGTGGAACATGAATCCAGGAAGTTGTCATTCTTCTTGTCATTGTTAGTTTTTTTTAGTTAAAAACCACACTTAATTGTACCTTCTCAGTAGCAGAAAATGTAAGTAGGTAAGTTAGGTAGGCCTAATCAAACTTTTTTTCGGGGGAAATAACTTAGCCTAAATGTGTTAATTTTAACAATATTTTAATGGAAATAAATAAATATAGGCCTATAGGCCTAAGGTCTTTATTCATGAGCGAATTTCAGTTACAAAACTGTTTTACAAATTGACTCAAGTCAGGACTTAAACTAAAGAAAACATCTTAACTTATAACTACGAAACAAAATAAGATTAGTTACAAACTCTTTAGGCGATTCTTAAAATTGTTGTAAGACAGTGCTTTTAGCGTGCAAGAAGTGCATTGTACTGAGCCGGCCCGAAGTAAGAAAAACCCCTTCTACCAGCATCAAAAACAACCCTTACCACAGTTCTTAGTGATGCAGCTGTGTCATATGGGTTTTTAGCAAAAGATAGGAGGATTTACTAAGCTATTCATATTTCACTATAAACATACTTTATTACCCTCCCAGTAGCTCAAACCTAAGTAGTTGTTAAACCTAATCTTATTGAACCAATAGATTTAGGCCTAATTTAAAATCCTACACTAGAAAATGGAAATTCGCTTAGTCTGCAGGTTTGCTGCGGCGGGGGTAGCCTATTTAAAATGTAAAACAATATTTATTATTATTATTGTATCACAAATTGAGATGGGGACTCCATCTAGGTGTGTACTTTAACCCAAATAGGATTGTAGGATTAAGTAAAATGTTCTTTTTCTTATTTACGCCATTGGGATTTTTTTGTAGAGGGAGTTGAAAGAGTGAGTGTTCTTCAAACGATTTTTGGGAAAGCGGTCCAAACACAAATGTTTTTGGCGTCCTTCTCGCACCAAAGTCCTAGACTAACCACTAGGCTAGCAACACATGATGCGTTTAAGAAAGATGAAAACATCAGAGAACTTATACACAGCCCAACAGTAATCTCTCAGATTAAGTTTACGCAAAATGGGTTGGTAGAAAGATAACTGCTTAATCTTTGTATCACATTCACTAAGTTAACTAAGAAAATTCATGGTTACCGAAGTAGTGTAAATCCAATCATTGACTGAACACCAAATGTACTCCATACATTCTTGGAAAGTGATATGATACGGCCAGCAATGACGAATTTCTAGTGGATAAGTAATGAGTTACCGCAGTGGTGAAAAATAATTAAGTTTTTAAACCAATAGAAAATTTTATGAAGTAGTACTGATAGTGAACGAACAAAAAAAGTTAGTTACCGGTAGCGGTACAAAATTAACCTTCCAGCTGTAGTTGAGAAATAGAGCATTCTCAGACATGTGTTTAGGCCTACCTATCTGATCTGTAATGTTAGGCTAAACTAATGAGATCCTTTTATTTTCAGCGTGTTATGGTATAGTGACTGTACCCTCTGGAAATTGGTATTGCCGTAAATGTGAATCGCCAGATAGAGCTAAAAGTGTAAGTACATTTTGTTCCTTACACTCTAGTATCACGAGTGAACAAGAGTTAATCAAGTAGACTGTAGTACGTAAATATATAAATAAACGGTGGGGTACTTATTCAAAATTCCTTTTACTTACTCCTCTAGTGCTTACACCAACAGTTGCCCCTCTCCGGTTACCCATTATAAATTGTTTAAAAGAGTAGTAGGATGTCCAATTTTACTGTCACTGCTATTAGGAGAAAGGATGTGTCATTATGCTGGTACCGACTATTTTTATTATTATTATTTTTATTTTATTTTAATTAAGTGTCCTTTAAGATGGTGTCCTGTTACTAACACCTTAGGAAGATTAGCAGTCAACTCAAGAAAAACAACTAAACAATTATGTTCTCCTACAGTTACTTGACAAAGTGGGCTTCCTTGCACTGATTATAGTACGACAAGTAGCTAATTGATGCATTTACTTACTTTTGCCGCACTCCAGTATTCCAACCAAACAACACAAAACAGTGTGCTTTTATTAGGCCTGTAATATGTGTACACTTGAAAATAAGTTGGCAACCATTAAAACGTGTAGGCTAGTATAGGTAGTGTTTGAAAGACTAATTATTTATATTCATTATAGTAACTGTAGAAAATATAATGTGGAATGGTAGTGCAAATGTACCTTTGCTACACTCGAGAAACTTTCCCCACTTGCCTGCGGCTCGTGCCTAAACATTTCTCTCATGTGCAGCAAACAGCCATTTCGCACACTAGTAGTACAAATAACTATTGGACCTTTGCATTCTATTCCATGAAATAAACCCCAATTATCATCTTGGAAATCCATTCTTAGCAGTTGAAATATCAAGGTGTATTATATAATATTATTATATAAATAACAAGAATGTTTTAAATTGGACCTTTCACTACCTTATGTTCAAGTAACAAGTTTGTGGAGAATTTATTTACTTATTCTTCCAACGGTAACACAATTTTTACATTCAAAAATACATTAAATAGGTTGAATCACTTTAAGTATGACATGCATTTTAAGCATCAATTGTTAGAGTTGTAAGTTCCATCACACATTGTTTACTTTTATTTTACTAATAAACTTTTTTTAAACCTAGAGTTAATAGAGTTCAGCAATGGTTTAAACAGTAAAATGTGCTTTTCTTGTTCAGGGTCCCAATAAACCGTACTGCGAGTTGTGTCCAAGCAAAGACGGAGCGATAAAGAAGACAGATAACAATGGATGGGCCCACGTGGTGTGTGCACTCTACATTCCCGAAGTTAGGTTCGTGAATGTGACTACTATGGAACCTATTGTCTTGGCACAAATTCCGCCTGAAAGATTTAACAAGGTAAAGATTCAATAGGTTTACATTGAATCAATGACCACATTATTGTATGTAGCAAACTTCATCAAAGATGCCATCAAACATGAATTCTTTGTAGAACTGAACCCTTTGATGTATAAAGGATTAAATAACCTAAATGCCCCATTGACATTCTAAGAGTATTATCATTGACTATACACATATTATTCAACAACAAAATTAATCTATGACTAGCAGCTATACCCGTGCCTTGCAACGGGGTCAGTATGCAAACGAGACAATTTTGGTTCTATGAAAATGTCTTAAAAATGGTTTCACTCCTACCATTTAATTAGAAACAAAATTGAACTGTATTACTTATCTTGATAGTAGTATGTTTTCGTTAACTCAGACTGTGAACACTTATTTAGGCCACATAGGATACAAAATCAATGATAGATTTTAAGGTAAAATAAAATAACATGTTAATTGTTAACGGAAAGCTATTACAATAGTTCCAAACCTTTCTGTAGTGTTTAATTAATTTTTTAACCTATTTTAGTGAAATTATTATCAGGCAAATGGAAATTCGTATAGGCTGCAGGTTTGCTGCGACAGGGGTTTTATATTACTGTTTACACAAAAATATATCTAAAAAAAAATTCTCATAAAACTCAGGATAAGAGCGTAGGTTGTTACATGATTATAGAATCTTCCTTCTTATTTCCTTTATCCATGAATAATTTCTTTTACAATGAATTATTCCCTGTAAAATATTATTACAGCATTTCACAAATATTAGAACGGACCCAGTATAGATCATAAACATTAACAAATAAAGTAGGCCTAACTGAAGAATCCTATACTAATAAAATTACATTAACATGTGGGTTAACAGTTCCATTTAAATAACGTTAAATAATGTTTACATTTGTGGCGAGTGACATCATTATTATATATGATATATAACATTTTGTTCTAATATTCGTGCAGTATCTAATCTATCTATCTATATATTAATAGGCAAGCATGTTTCTTTAAAACCTTTTTTCTCAGCTCGTGTGCATCGCAGGGAAACTCTACGCATACTGTTGGAAAGATATTTTCCTGTAGATGTGCAGAATGCCTTTAAAATTTAAAATAGGCTAACAAATAAGCACAAAAAATGAATTTGAAAACTTCAAAAAATTAACATGGACCAAATGGGTTGCCATGATGGTGACGAAATAACAACAAAATGTAAACAAAAAATCAAAACAAAGGGAAGAAATTCCAATCACATGTTTTATTTACAGTGTGGGGAGAAAATAGAGAAGTCTGTACATTAATTATTTTTGGTCGAGTTTCGACCACAGGACGACCACTAGTATAATTAAAACGGCTCTGTGGAAATGTGAAATCAAAATTCATTTGACAGTTAGTTCTGCTTGTTTACATTTGTGGGTTTGTTCTTTGTTACCATGGTGACCAATCAGTATTTACATGTAAAACTCTCACCTCAGAACTTTGAAAGCCCGCGGGGCAGAGACCTAAGCAATATCGAAGCGGGAATAGCTCTATATGTATCCTCGGAGGTGTAGCTTTATTTTTGTCTAATTCAAGCCCAATCGATTCAGTAGTTTTTGAGATTAGCTCATACAAACACACAGACAGACAGACACCACCTCTTCTTTATTATAGTAATAGATAGATTACATATTATATAGGCCTACATTTTAAGGCATTTTGATTTGAAACAAACCTATATTATTAAAGGCTAATAAAAAATAATGAACAAATTCATGTTTTTTTATTTTTATTATTATAATGGCGATCTATGAACGTCATTTGACGTATAACAGTTGTGTTGTGTAGAGGGATAATAAGAATATAAGAGAGGGAAAATCAAGAGTTTTGTTACAAGGTTTATTTACATATGGTCTTGTGATGGGAATTAGAGATAGACTGTTAAAAACATAGACATTTAAATTAATAGGTACTAAAAAATTAAACACAGAGTTTTATAACACCAGACCATGAATTTGGTGCTACGATGTTCATTCATCACTAATCCATTGTTGTATGTTAATTGCTATTGTGTTAGCAGTCATTGGAAGTGGTATATCTTGGTTTTTACTATATTTGTCTCTAGGGTTGGCATGATAAGTAAACATGTACTAGTACTTTTTTTGGAAACTGTTCGCTTTTCTACAAATATTGTATAAGCAAGATTTTTCTTTTAACATTTGCAATGAAAGCCTCACTGATATTACCCTTAAAACATTTAACAGTAAGTTACTTTGCTGCTCCAGAGTTATTATTTAGTCATAATTTTCTTTATCCAGTCATTTAATAGCCTACTCTGTTTCAATGCCCATCATGTTGATTGCAGGTGTGCTATATCTGTGAAGAAAGTGGAAAGGGGTCTAGATCAACTGTGGGTGCGTGTATGAACTGTAATAAAAGTGGTTGCAAACAGTGGTTTCACGTAACGTGTGCTCAAGCTTTTGGTCTGCTTTGTGAAGAAGCCGGCAACTATCTAGATAACGTTAAGTACTGCGGATATTGCCAGCATCACTATTCTAAACTGGTGAGTGTGTGCTGGGTGTATAGGCTTAAGATAACCAGGCAGGGCAAACGTTATTTTAGGCCATTCAGACATGGTAGAAGTTAGGTTAGTCCTTTTAGTGGCAAAAGAGTTAGTCTACTAGTCTATATGTTGTATTAATGTTATCAGTGTTTCAACAACAGTATAGGTTAGCTAAAGACTGTCAACCAGGGTACAGGTTAGGTTATGCCCATCAGGAAGGGTACAGTTTAGGTTAGGCCCAACAGAAAGGGTACAGGTTAGTTTAGGTCCATCAGGAAGCGAACAAGTTAGGTTAGGCTCATCAGGAAGCGTACAGGTTAGGTTGGGCCCATCGGGAAGAGTACAGGTTAGGTTGGGCTCATCAGGAAGCGTTCAGGTTAGGTTAGGCTCATCAGGAAGAGTACAGGTTAGGTTAGGCCCATCAGGAAGCGTACAGGTTAGGTTGGGCTCATCAGGAAGCGTACAGGTTAGGTTGGGCTCATCAGGAAGCGTACAGGTTAGGTTGGGCACATCAGGAAGCGTACAGGTTAGGTTAGGCTCATCAGAAAGCGTACAGGTTAGGTTAGGCCCATCAGGAAGGGTACAGGTTAGGTTAGGCTCATCAGGAAGCGTACAGGTTAGGTTAGGCCCATCAGGAAGGGTACAGGTTAGGTTAGGACCATTAACCTTTAAACATTACCAATTTAATTTTAAACAGTATGATTTAAATTGGCATTCTGTTAATTACAGTTTTTTTAACCCACTCCTATGACAGTGTGTATCTAGATCCGGATCTTCCGATCTGGATCCGAATTTTTCCGGTTCCGGTACCGACATTTTCTTGGATCCGCCCATCACTAATTTTATAATTTAAAAGATTGTTTAAACACCTAACTTAAAACATGTAAAAACTGTATTTAACTAATCTAATGTATAGTGTGTAAATAATCTGGAATTGCAGTTAATATTCTTGTATATGTTACTTTTATTTTATCACTAGACTCAAAAATGTAAAATAACAATGACACATTCATGTATGCTGTTGTATGTGTCGAATAAAGGTTTATTTTATTTGATTTGATACTACTTATGCATCATATAATGTGCTGCCGTTTATGGAACCTTTATAAATTTTGGTACTCTGGTATTATACGGAGGCCACTTATTTGGCTGCGGGAAAATTACGGTAACATATTAGATTTCCTAACCTACCTATTAGTCTTTCATGTTTGCTTCCTGCACGGTATCCTATTTTTCAGATTAACAAAACTCTTTATCAATTGAGGCATCGGCATCACTCCTTAAGAGTCCTTGGAGACTAGCGGCCATCTTGGATAATTTCAAACAGCTGCTGAAGAGTTATTTATCGGCCAAAAATATTTGTTCAAACACCAAAAAGATAATAATTTAAATATCCAGTATACTGTGAGATTAGAAATGTTATTTGTAGATTTGAATTGTTTGAAGGAGTCCATGGAAGCTAACGGCCATCTTGGATTTTCCCGCCATGAGAGCAATGTTGATTTCATTCCTTCAAACAGCCGCTGTAAAGTTATTTACCACCACAAAATATTTTTTCAAACACCAGAGTGATTGTTATTTAAAAAATAAAAATCTAATAAACTGAGATTAGAATTGTCGTAGTAGTTCTTTAATTGTTTTAGGAGTTAGAACGTCTAGGCTCCAAGGACTTAAGCGGTTGAGTGCACTCTAATTTTCAAATTCACTAATAACTAATCACTCACTAATAATGTCTTAAAAAGTACAAAGTACAATTATTATAGCTTATATCAGAATCAGAAATCAGAAAGATTATAATCCTGATAAAGTTATTGAAAGCCATCATGTACATGAATTCAGTTTTTAAATTAAATAATTCTTGTCTATTTAGAAAACTTCAGAATAAAAATCATCCATTTTATAACAAGCCTTTTCAATTAAAAGACGTGTAGTTTTTTAAGAGTATTTTTATTGGATTGTTGGTGATTCTTCTTGAAATTTATTTAAAATGTTGATAGCCATGTATTTTGTATACATTAAAAAAGGCTTAGTCTATGTGTTGGGAATTCATATAAATTTTTCTGACTTGTGGAATAGTTATAATTTAAACTTCAAAACTTGTCTAGATTGCTATTTAGTTGTTTAAATAAATATAGGATGGAGAGGACACAGCTAACTCACCTGATGAAAGGTTGCAGATGAGTCAAAGAACACATAAAATCACACACATAATTTACTTAATATTTCGCCTCTTTCAGAGGCTTCTTCAGAAGTAGGCCTAGATGGTAGTTACAAAACAACAGTTTAAATAGGATGACCAACATTTATTTATTTATTTAATCCAAGCTAAATGCTTTTTCCTAAAAACATAACCTATTTAGTTGTTTAATCATTTCAAAGATGTACAGTCCCATGGCGGTTAAAGTAAGCTTTTAAGGAATTCATATGTAACAGCCAGGGTGTCTAGTAGTCGGGAAAATCGGGAAAGTCGGGAATTAGTATTGAATTTCAAAATGGTCTTGAAAAGTCGGGATTTAGTCTTAAATTTGATTTCAAAGTCGGGAATTTTCGTGATTTTGCCGCGATCGTCGTCTTGCGTTTACGTAACCGCGAAAACCAATGATGATGATACCTGCTCGGCCGCGGGAAATGTTCATGATTTTGCCGCGATCGCGGACGACGACGATGACGTTTCCGTGACCGCGGGAGATGACGATGACGTTTCCGTGACCGCGGGAGACGACGATGACGTTTCCGTGACCGCGGGAGACGACGATGACATCTGCTCAGCCGTGGGAAATGTTCATGATTTTGTCACGATCGCGGACGACGACGATGACGTTTCCGTGACCGCGGGAGATGACGATGACGTTTCCGTGACCGCGGGAGACGACGATGATATCTGCTCGGCCGCGGAAACGTCCATGATTTTGTCGCGATCGTGGGAGATGACGATGACGTTTCCGTGACCGCGGCAGACGACGATGACGTTTCCGTGACCGCGCGAGACGACGATGACGTTTCCGTGACCGCGCGAGACGACGATGACATCTGCTCGACCGCGGGAAATGTTAATGATTTGGTCGCGAATGCGGACGACGACGATGACGTTTCCGTGACCGCGGTAGATGACGATGACATTTCCGTGACCGCGGGAGACGACGATGATGTCTACGCGGCCGCGGGAAATGTTCATGATTTTGTCGCGATCGTGGGAGATGACGATGACGTTTCCGTGACCGCGGGAGACGACGATGATATCTGCTCGGACGTGGGAAATTTTCATGATTTTGCCGCGATCGCGGACGACGACAATGACGTTTCCGTGACCGCGGGAGATGACGATGACGTTTCCGTGACCGCGGGAGACGACGATGATATCTGCTCGGCCGCGGAAATGATCATGATTTTGTCGCGATCGTGGGAGATGACGATGACGTTTCCGTGACCGCGGGAGACGACGATGATATCTGCTCGGCCCCGGGAAATGTTCATGATTTTGTCGCGATCGTGGGAGATGACGATGACGTTTCCGTGACCGCGGGAGACGACGATGACGTTTCCGTGACCGCGGGAGACGACGATGACGTTTCCGTGATCGCGGGAGACGACGATGTCATCTGCTCGGCCGTGGGAAATGTTCATGATTTTGTCGCGATCGTGGACGACGACGATGACGTTTCCGTGACCGCGGGTGACGATGGTGACGTTTTCGTGACCGCGGGAGACGACGGTGACGTTTCCGTGACCGCGGGAGACGACGATGACATCTGCTCGACCGCGGGAAATGTTTATGATTTTGTCGCGATCGCGGAAGATGACGATGACGTTTCCTTGACCGCGGGAGCCGACGATGACGTTTCCGTGACCGCGGGAGATGACGGCGACGTTTCCGTGGCCGCGGGAGATGACGGCGATGTCAAAACCGCCGCGGGAAATGTTCATGTCTTTTCCGCGATCGCGGACGACGACGATGACGTTTCCGTGACCGCGGGAGACGACGATGACGTTTCCGTGACCGCGGGAGACGACGATGACATCTGCTCGACCGCGGGAAATGTTCATGATTTGGTCGCGAATGCGGACGACGACGATGACGTTTCCTCGACCGCGGTAGATGACGATGACGTTTCCGTGACCGCAGGAGACGACGATTATGTCTACACGGCCGCGGGAAATGTTCATGATTTTGCCGTGATCGCGGACGTCGACGATAACGTTTCCGTGACCGCGGGATATGACGGTGATGTCTAAACAGCCGCGGGAATTGTTCATGATTTTGCCGCGATCGCGGACAATGACGATGACGTTTCTGAGACCGTGGGAGACGACGATGATGTCATTGATGTCTACAAGGCCGCGGGAAATGTTCATGATTTTTTCGTGATCGCGGACGACGATGATCACATTTCTGTAACTGCTGCAGTTAATGATGATGTCTAAACGTACGGTACGCGGAAGATTTCATGATAAAAAAAAACAAATTTGCTAGTTAGAACTTTTATTGCTGCATTATTTCTTTACTTGAAAACACGACATTATCATAATACAGTACTACTTTATAACAAAGACAGGGGTTGGTGTAGTATTATTTAGAAAATTTGGTTAAGCTATAAAAATTGGTATCGGTACCAAGAATCGAGAATCGATACATTTTGGTATCAACACCCACTAATTGTTGAAAAAACTAGTCTTGAAAAATCAGGAATTAGTCTTGAAAAGTCTGGAATTAGTCTTGAATTTTGTAATGGAAATAAACTAGACACCCTGAACAGCATAAAAAGTCTGGGTTAGTCCTTCATAAACACCTGGGAGTTTAGATCTAATTTCTATGCGATTCATTTTCACTCTGTATAACTAGAATGTATTGTAGCTCGCAATTCAAATTATTTTAAACAATGGACATTCAAATCTTCTGTTTTTTGTTATTTATATTTAAAAAATAATTGCCCGATGATTTCACTAAAAATGAGATTCGGTGAAATAAGTTTTAAGGTCTACTAAACCTCAATTGTCCAAATTATATTTATTATGCCTATGTGTAATAATCGTATGATTTAGACTTCTCTATAGGCTGACTAACATTTATGTCCTCTTCAAAATAAATTTTATTTTGTTTATGCCGTCATACATTCTCAACAAACACTTGTAATAATATTTATTTCTTCGTACTAATTATAATTTACATTTTAATGTTTAAAATATCAATTTACGAGCAATTAAACGCCATCATACATAGACCATACAATGCATTAAACGAGAGTTCAGTTTAATACAACTCTAATGACAACTCTTTCCTTTTAGTCAAAGCCACTGTTTGTTTAACACTGTTTGCATATTCTTGTTCAGTGCAATGGCCTGCTTTTATAAAATGGCTTAGTTCATTTGTGTTTTCTGCGTGTGACTCATATTTTTCAGTTGGTTTTGTTTTGATTATTGATTTTGTGAAACAGGTGTTTCAGTAATTAACTGAATGTGGCATACCATACAGTTCAGTTGTAAAACAGTAAAGTTGTGGAGTCAGTAGAAAATTTCAAAAAAACTATTTTGATTGTTGAACTGTGTAAGTTTTGAAATTATTATAAATTTATTAATGCTTCTTCAGTTTTACAGTTTTTTCTTTTATATTCTTAGTGAATTTGGGCAACACTGTAAAAACCCCTTGTGATAACAAAATGCTATATGAGTTTTTGCTTGTACAGTGTACCCATTTATTTTACTTGTTCTGTGTTTTTTTGTCCTTTAGTCCCACAAAAAGTAGAATAATCAACTTTAATACAGTACCTAATGTATTTATGCTTATGCTAGATGGAAATTCAAATCTTATTAAAACATCCAAAACATTTGGCCTTCCTATATTAAAATAATGTTATGGATTATACATTTTCATCAATCTTACTTTAATTGCATTTACTGTACTTTTATTTCTTATCACACTGAATAGTTATACCAATTTTATTCAAGTATGTTTTCAAAACATGTTTTTCTATAAATACAAAGTTTTCCCTTTCTCTTGTAATTTGTTCATGCTGTTATGTGTAATAATTTTGTCATATGGTTATAATTTTCATATTGTTAGTTATTGTTTTTCTTGTAATTTTCATCAATTGGATTTGGATAGTATGAGGATTTTAACTTATTTATAGTTAATTTATAGTCGTTTATAGTAGTTTATAGTACATTCACTTTGGTCATAAATTTTTGTGTTTGCGTACTCTCCCTCCTCCTACCTTAAGCTTATCTGATTTTTACGTTTTTCTTAGGTAGGTTATTTTCTTACCCTACCACAAGAAGAGAGTTTAGCTATGTTTGAACAGTATATTTTCTAAAATGTTCAGATCAATTGTTTAGTTTATTGGACTCATGACCAAGTGTAAAATCGTGTAAAATATTAACTGTTGGAATCTATTTACAGAAAAAGGGTGCAAACGTAAAGGCAGTGCCTGCGTATCGTCCTTTGTCCGCTGATTCGCCCCCTAGTCCGGACAAGGAATCAAGTGACAACTGGTCAAAACCAGGAAAACGTAAACTAAGCACCTCGGCTAAAAGCTCTTCCTCTAACTTCTCATCAAGTAAGTGGTTTGTTATTTAGTCTGTGTAGTGAACCTACACACGTTTAACACAATTTATATGTTATATATATATATATGTTTTTTTTTATTATTATCACTAGGAAATGGTTTAAATATTACTTAACTATATTTGCTATAGGTATTTAAAACATAGTCTTAGGACTTAGGATAATAAATTATGTCTTCATGGTGAGAATGCAGTTTTTGTCAGTCATGGTTTTTTTCTTTCCCTTTTGTTAATAACAAATTCAAACAGAAAATTCTAACCAACATTTTGTTGTGTATTTACTGTTTCCTCTATGCATGTTTTGGGAGTGCTTTGTGTGAGATTGTCTGATTTCTACCTATAAACATGACAAAGGGGCATTTGTAAATATTAGTTTTTCAATGAATTTCTGTGTCTTACTAACATCACTTCTCAGTAAATGTTGTAAGCTAAGACAATTATTTAAAGCGGTAATTAACATATGTTTCTGCTTTGTTTGGAAATAATTGGAGTTTTTTTCCCACGTGTGACCATAGTTTAAACAATAGGCTAATCCTATGTAGATTCGTCATCCCTATGTACCAACTAAAGACAATTTTAAAGTATGGTTTTTGTGGAGTGCATTTTAAGCATGTTTGCTACCTATTCCTCCTTATTTTACCAAAAACATAACAAAAAATAAAGTTGATGTCCTCTGGCATTATTACCGAATAATAAAACGCTCACTTGTGTTTACCTCATAGTTTGAGAGGAACATTTTGTTGACATTAGCTCTTTAGCTTTAGGCCTACTGGATATCAAGTTCACATTATAGGCTTCAGATACGATGGGAAGTCTTCTGGCTTCTTGCAGTATCCAAAATCAATTATGTAACTATCCATTCACACCTTAAAGTCATTCAGGTAGCATTTATACATTTTTTGTGTGCCGCAGTAGTTAACTGACACCCATTAGAAGGAATGCCCTTGAGCAATATTAAACATTGACATGAAAAAGTAAGCAATATTTGCAAATTATATTGCAGATTTAAGTACAACCAATAATGGTTTGTTAAAAAACTGCACCTTCTCACTTATATCTGAATTTGTGATAATCTTTATGACTGCATCATTTGCTGAATCTAATTTTTAGGCCTACATAACCTCGGTTTGCTACAGTTTGATCATCTTAATTCTATTAAACCATTGTTTGATGTAATTGCTGATTGAAGTTTATTTCCTAATTAAAATGAATGTTGGCTAATTAAAATGATTGTAGGCCTTGCCAGCAACAAATTTCTATTAACTAAGTCTTGCATCTCTCAGTCACCTCCTGATCCCATTATTTAATGGATTTTATGGGTTCTTCCAAAGACGTCAAGGACTTGGAAAACTGCTTTTGTCAACGCTTTTCAACTGTCATCTTTCCTTGCAACAAGCTCACTTGAATATTCTAATTTTGATCTATGATACTACTTTGGTTGTTACCTAGTTTACGTACTCATCCTAGTCATCGTTCATAAATTAAACAGAGCCTAAACTTTAATGATCTCTAAATTACCATCCTCTGATGAGAATATCAATGAATACAATCTGTCTTAGAAGCAATGTTAACAGAGTTCCCCTACATGGTCTATCATAATGGATAAACAGTGCAGCAAAATATTTATGCTTCTTCTGACTTCACTCTCCTTTGTTCCATAAAGATTTGATGGCAAGAAACTGATGGGCTCAGCCTACTCAGTCTTGCTCTTGCTTAATTTAGTGGACAGTGCACTTTAAATGGATAATTTTCTTACTTTTGGATTGTATTTTGTGTTAAAGTGTTTTTTGTTCATGTGATATAAAGTCCCAATGAAAAGTATTAAAAGTATTAAAAAGTATTAAAGTACGAATTCAAGATAAAAAGTGATGAAAATTCTAAAATTAGGTACCTCAAAAGTGTTTTAAATCAATTTTGTAAGTTATTTTATAAACATATATCCTTGCTCATATACTCAATTTTCTATTATGAAGGATTTAAAACCAATTTAACACTGAACATCAGTGAAAGTAATTATGTTTAATATTTTCAAATATATTTTTGCTAAACAAGTGCATACCACTGAATTGGGTAAGTTAATTTTAGTAGAGCTTAAATAAGTATAAAATTATGACTTTGTACATAGGTCTAGTTGTTGTCGGCCTATATATTTACTCAAAGACTAGAGAAGACCTCATTTTGTAAGTGTGGTAAGACTGAGCCATCAGTGTTGTTGTGTATCCGAATGGTTTGATATTAAATACTAACAACTGATGCATTCATTGCATATGACGTAACTATTAAATGATATGGTTGGATTTGAAATTATTAACCGTTTTATTAATTATATAATAAAGAAAATTAAAAAAAAGTTATAAATAGGCTACTAGGGGTTTCATCACATTCTCACCGTCTTTTAAAATTGAAACAAAATAACAAGACTTTCATAAATTAACAAAATGTGTAAAGTAATTTTTGAAAATATAGGCTAATTGTTTAGTTTAAGTTTAAATTTTTTTTTCAAATAATTATTGATATAGATATCACCTTTTAAGTTGTTTTAAGTTTAAGTTTTAAGTGTGTTCCAAAAAAGGTAACAATATGTTTGGTAATAAATACTTTGGCAATAAAGACTTTTTGAAAATATGTGTAATCAAATAAAAGAGAACATGTTTTTTTTTGCTCCACATGTACAAGACACAAAATTTCTTAAATCCACACTATGTTTATTTGTAAATTATTTGTTATTAGTTCTTAAAAATAAAACTGTCTATAAATGATCTATTCATTAGGGATCTGATGTGTGACTGGGTTTTTCAAATTTTATTATTATGCAATGTAGTTGGTGACGGTCACATAATATTTGCGTTATCCCTATAATAATCATTATTCAAGGTGGGAAACCCTCCATTGGTGGCAAATCCAGTGGTACTACAAGTCCTGCTCCGACTTCAGCTGGTGAGTCGACTGCTACACCGACAGTTGAGGATCCGTCCCCTACACCCCCGCCTTCTGTCGTCCCCCCCGCCACCACAGACAGTCCAACCACCTCTGTTGACTCGGCTGTCAACGGGAAATTCACCACTTCCAACTTTGTCGAGAGTGTAGTAACTCCTAGTGGAAGTGTATTTGGAGACGGGAAACCAGGGAAGAAAAGGAAGAGCCAGGTGAAAGACGAGAGTCCCTCGGCGACAGCACCCTCTGTTAATCCTTTGAGTGGAAATTCAGGACCTCTAGCGGAGGATAAAAGACCGAAGATTGACTCCTCTGCCATTCCCGGGAAGTTGGAGACTCCTACGCCGTCAGTTGTGGTGAAAGTTCCGACTACTGCTCCGTCTACTTCCCCCTCTGCCGCGCCCCCTGTTCCTCGCCAGCCTGTCACAAGTAAGATGTCTTTTTTTAAAGGGGTGGTCAAGTTTTTGCAAATTCAAATTAGCTTATAAAATAACAAAGATTATTTCAGCCAATAACAGGATGAAATTCAATTTCTTTCTTCTAATATATTGTAAATTTATTAAGGTATTGTAAAATAGGTAGGTAATATTGTCAACATTTGGAAGAAAATGAACAACCTAATAGATTTGCCTCTAAAAAAATTCTAGTTAATTAATTTTAAAGTTATTCCATCAAATTTTAATTTTATGATGAATTAGAGAGTAACAACTGAATTACGTTTTTTAATAATGTTAAATGACATTATTGACTTTTTGAAATCTCTTTTCACTTTGCCAATGTTATTGCAGATAACAATCGGACCTTTGTTTAGTTTTTGGCTGAAATGTCGTAGAGCCTTCAGAATTATTCTCTAACAACTTCAATTTAAGAGTTAATTAAAATTCAGTCCTTGCCCAATGCCCATACCTGATAGTGAGATGCTGTTTTATTTTGTTGCAAAACAAAAATAATAACATTTTCGGTCATAAAATGACATTATTAGCTTTTTTCAATACCTTCTTAACATATTTAACAATGTTAGAAGATAAAAATTTAATTTCATCTAACTGCTCAAATTTTATCAAGCCCTAAGCATTAGTGATAAAAAACTAGTACTTGCCCAGCCCATATCATATCACGTTCAAAGAAGGGTATTTTTAGACTACCATGTTCCGGTAATCTAGTTTCATGATACCCACTGTTTTTATTTTTTCACTTCCTCGTGTTTGAGTTAATTTAGTAGTTATCACTCCAAAAAATCAAATGTTTCCCCTAAGAATTTTTTAAATTTCTATAATATACATTCGATTTAAACAAAGGTTTCCCATGTATAAAACAATGTTTTACTTATTCCAAAAAATGCATTATTATTTTTCAAAACTAGGTTTTACCAGTTTTGGTTATTTTTCAATTTATTTCACACTGATTGAATATTAGGGATTCATTTCACAATTTTAAACTCCTGTACTACTTCATACCAACAGAGAAGGTTGATGTAAACGTAAAGTTTCCTGTTGAGTGTACAAAGGTCAAAACCTCACTTATTGAATTTCAAGCAGACATTTAGTAGTTGTTTGTTCCTGAGTTCTGTTCCAATCACTTCCTCCATGTGTTCTGTTCTGATCAGCTAAATTAGTTATATTTTTTTACTAACATCAGTTCCGTATTCACAAATCTTATCTTTTTTTTTGCTATACAAAATCTCATTGAAATTCAAAATTGTATTCTTGAATACTTTAGTTTTCTGTATCAAAAAAGCTGTTAGTAAGTATTGTTTTAATTTTACTAGCTAAAAATTGTGTGTTAACATAAATTATTGACTGTGTTATGAATTTTCTTGATTTAATTATTTTACTAATTATATTCATTACAAAGGACCCTTCTTTCCTATCTATTAGTTAAAACATGCAGACTTAAACCAAATAAATAAACTTATTCCTATTCCTATTTTGTTTTTTCACCAGTCTAATGCATAGCTAAAAAATATTAATATTCTATCAATTTTTATAATTGGTTTTAACTGACAATTTTGTGATTACTGATTAAAGAAAGTTCTTTCAATTAACCTAAAATAAAACTCATGAAATGGAAGTAGTGTAATGTCTAGAAATCAAATAGGATGTAAAAAGCAACATTTGTAGTAAACAATTAAATTACAAAACGTAATACTCGTTTAACTATTTTCTATTAGAGCCACCCTTTTTTATCTAAACAAATTTGAATCACTTTATTGGAGCTTTTTCTGGTAGGAAGATTTATAGCATGAAAGGCCACAATGTTAGTTTTTAACTCTTTGGCCTGTATATCTTTTTGAAAAACATTCTATGATTTGATACATATGTAACCAAAAACACTTAACTGTCTCGTAAATGATCTACTAACCATCATATGGGTTTCTTACATCTCCTCCCTAATCATTTCTAGTCTAAGTTTTCTTGGTTGGTTTCAAATTATTAGGCCTTATTTCTTTGTTTATACAAATTTGACTAACAATAACTTTTTAACCAATAATAGTTTTCTAGTTTAACCATTTACCAACATTGGGAACCTTTTTTATACACTTTAATCATTTTGACTCGCAACTTTTCTCTGGCTAAAATTGTTTCGTCTGCATGTTGTCTGTAGTTTGAACTGTGTTTGTTTGCTGGTTACGGTGAACTGGAGTTTATTTATGGTTTAGCCTCACCAATTGCTGCTACTAGTTCTATAGTCGTGTCTGTGCCACTAGCCGTTGCGTCGCTGCCGACTCCGCCAGCCACAACTGTACCTGCGGCGCCGACCCCCGTCACAGACGACGCCCCCGGCAAGCGAGGAAGGTACGAAGTGTAGATTAGTAAATTGTAAGTTTAGTTATGGGAAAGAGAAATTGGATTGGAAATATATTGGAAGGAGGGGTGGATTAGCTTACCTAAAAAAAGTTTCAGGTGGTAGACTGCTCACAACCAGTTTACTAATTTGATTTTTTGTCCCTACAACAGGGCTTTTCCAGAAGAGAGTAGTTACCAAACAGTTTGAGGTGTTTTGCAACTGCATATGTACCACTTCTTCTGAATAAGCAAAATATAAAATGAATAGTGAAAAGTAGGGCGACATGACCCAATTAATGTTTATTTTTATTTTTACATAGTTGTTATTTGAAGTTAAGAATTTCTAACAACAAATACTCATACCTTAGTCTTTGCTATACTTCTATAATAAAGATTGAATTATTTTCTTTACCCATTACACTACAAAATAGTATATTTCATCAATAGGGCCTAAAGTGACTCTTTTTGTCCCAAGGTCAAGTTTTACGATCGAGGCGAACTGAGGTCGGAAAATGAGCGAGGGTTAAAAAGACACCTTTTGCCCGTGTGGTGAACTATATTTTTTGTCATATTGCATAATTAATTAACAAACAAAGCTAGAAAACAAAATCATTTTTATGTAAAGATAACCTCTTAAAACAACTTCCAGCTTGTTTTCAATTCTGCTAATGCAAATAAGCAGCTGTTAAGCCGTGTTTTCCTAGCGACGCACTTTCTACGTCGCGTACAACGTATAACGCTGACGTATAACGTACATATAATATGCGGCATACAAGTGTTCTCCTAGAAATGTTCAGTACAGCTGCGTCATTTAGCAGGATAGCTTCAAGATGAGCTCACGGAAGAGAAAACAAATATGTGCTTTGTTATTAAAGGAGTGTTTAGACGAGATTGATAAAGAAGTTAATGTTATAATGAAAAAGTATTGTTCAGTTAGAAGCAAAACCAGTGACGTGTACAATTTTAGAGAAGACGAGGGTGTCTTTCAGTTGTTAATACATAAGCACCTTTTAGATGATGAAATCAAATTCAAAGCTTATTTTAGATTTACTAGGAACCAATTTTATTACTTACTCGAGAGAGTTGAAGAATTATTGACCTGTGAACCTTGTAACAGAGTAACACGACCAATTTCACCAGCTGAGATTTGCTCTCAACTTAAGGTATGTGCAATTAAGCTAGTAAGTCAGGACTGTGAGAATAGTTTGAAAAATGAATTGAATCCTGTAATATATGTTTATATTAATTGTACAAGAAGCAGCATTTGATTTTATAATGTTGGTTGCATTCCAGATGTTAAAGACTTTTGTTTTGTTCTGATTGTTAATTTTGTAAATAACAATAATAATTGAGTTGTGATTGAAATGGAGAATAAATTGAATACACTAGATTTTATCTTGTTCTTATAAAATATTACAAATCCGAATCTTTTTAGAGATTCGATTTTGATTTGAGAACGAATCTAAGTGACTTTTTAACCCTCGCTCATTTTCTGACCTCGACTTCGCCTCGATCGTAAAACTTTACCTATCAAAAGAGTCAGTTTAGGCCCTAGTGATGAAATTTAGGCCCCCTGAAAATTTTCCAAAAAAGGCAAATGTTTTGTTGCTTGTGGACACTATATTAATGCGAGGTGCTGATGTACATACAACTCAATCCAACAATTTTTTAGATCTCAATCGGCTGACAAGTCGGACAAAAGTAAGAAGCAGAAGCGAGGAGGCAGTGCTACAGGCAGCAAGAGAGGTGGTCGTAGCAGTCAAGCCACGCCTCCGCCCTCTAGCAACCAACTTCCTCAACCCCAGCCTTCACCTACCCCTCCTGTCATAGCTACCCCCACCATTGCCACGCCAGCTGCTACACCCACCCCAGTGTGAGTACTGCCAAGTGAGACCGGGGGGTCATAGCTACACCTCAAATAAAAAAAAACATATTATTCAGAGATTACCTTAAGCCGGGTTTTCCTAGGCGCGGAAACGGAGAGCGGAGAGCAGACTCCACTTGTCTTAGGCAGTTTCCCTAGAAGCGGAGCGGAACACCATGTTAATCTCTTTACCGCTCTCCGCGTTCCTCTCTCCGCTCTCCGCTTCCGCTCCTAGGAAAACCCAGCTTTAGTTTATTGTAATAGTTACCTGAGACGCCTCTTCTTCCTGGCCTTGCATCACGATTAAAACTGTGGGGTTACTCCTACACAACGAAGACTTCTTTTATATAACCTCCCCTCATCACACCAACTGCCCTTGAGGCCTATGTCTACCGCATTTCTCGTTGAGCACTCTTGAATTGTTGTCGTAATCCACTTGCCTGACTCGCCCGTGCTCCTCGTTTGTGTCTAACACAATCGCAGTGTTGCCATGTCACCATCAATTAAAACATCCCATTTTACTGAATAGTCAAGACCAGTAGTGATATGGGGCCCCTCGTCACAAAATTTTTTTTAAGTTTTCACTTGAAGTAATATACCTAAATGGTAATGTGTCAGTGAACATTTTCTGGTGCCATGTCTGTCTGCCATCAAAAAATACTGATGCTAAAATGTTAACCCTGCACATAGTGTTTTAAGTAGGAGTCTCAAAAGAGCTTAGGTCCCTGTAACTTCCTGGGCGGCCATGCCAACAGTTGGCTATATTGTTCGATTTGGACCAGAAATAATTTTCAATCTGAGCAATGTAATGGCAATAGCTGAAAGTGTCTGCAAAGATTGTGCGATTAAAAATTCACAATTTTTGCATAAGTTGTGAGAATGGCAATGTCTTTGCGACATCGAATGCAGGGGATGTTGAGAATAGAATATTTTCCAAACCAGTCTGATTTTTGATCAAGACGTTTAAGTCAACACTTTCTATCCAAACGAGAAGTCTGGCCCGCATACACGTACTATTAAGGATATGTAAGTGACATATAATATATATTAAATAATTTTTTTTAAAGACATTTCAGATATAGTTTAATAATATTTTGTCTGTTTGCAGCGTGATGCCTGTCAGTCAAGCCATCAAGGAGTCCCCACCAAGCAGTCCGGACAACAAACAAAAGCACAAGAGGCAATCTCAGTCTCGAGATGACAAAGACAAATTGTGAGTTTAGTTTTGGATCCACTTCTGTTGGAATTAAGACCAGACATGATCATACTTTTTCTGGGGTGTTACAAATCTCTTTTGATTCTTATCCTTGCAGATCAGTACTCAATAGTTATTGACTTAAACTCTTCTGTTTTTGGTCTCGCCGCCAGTTTGAATTTTGGTCTTTTACAAGCGTAATCTTCTTTTATTAATTTAAGATATAACGTTTCTAGGGGTAGAGTCTAGTTAATTTTCTATTTTACATATGGTGGGATATCTACCCTAGTATTCCAAAGTCTGTGATAATATCCAAAGTGATTTTTTTTTACTATTAGTTAAGTTGAGAAATTTGCTCCATAGAGCTTTGTTGTAAGCAGGAAAATCAAAACACATAATTATCTCAATGTGTTGTGTTTAAGTATATGTGATTTCTTTGAAAGTCAAATACCTCAACGTCTTATGATTTGTTCAGGTTCCAGAACGGTGTGAATGCGCCACACATGCTCGGCAATCAGTTGAACCCGGCGTCCACGATGGCGCAGAAGATGTCAGATACTCTGAACCAAGAGTTGGAAGCTCACAGTATCTTCACCTCAGAACCTAACTTGAGCAGCCAGCCTGGCCAACTTGTGGGTCCCCAACTACACAGCAGAGTCATAGCTAGTGTAAGTACAGCTACATACACACCTGCTAGGCCTAAAGGGTTGGGGTACGATCACTTAGATCAAATCCATTGGTGATTGGCGGGATTTGAACCTCCCGCCCACCGCCACTAGACCAGCTCGCTCCCCTTTCAAAGTTTATTAATGAAACATTAAACACAAGTGCCTAGGTTTCAAGGATGTTTGTAAAATATTGTTTGACAACATGAAAGTGTGTCGGTTTTGCAGGTGAGAGGCAGTGGAGCAGGCACTCCCCAGACCAGCAGCACACCTCCAGCCAATGCCTGGGCACCTAACAGTACAGCCTCAACCCCCCAGACCCTGGACCAGCTGTTGGAGAGGCAGTGGGAGCAGGGCAGTCAGTTCCTCATGGAACAAGCGCAGCACTTTGACAGTAAGGGTGCGATTCAGTATTGCACTTGAATGGTTAACCAACAAAGGAACAGTAGGATTTAAACTTGATATTGTAAGGTCTTACCTTAGCAATATTGTCGATGCGATATCAATTTCCACCCCAAGGTTAATCTTCAGTCGGGATCTAGGTCGACCAAAGTTCCTGAGGTGGTATCCACCCTGAGAGTTTTGTAGAAGATAAAATAACATTTATCACATTATTAATTACAGTTGATATGGAAATAGCACAAAAATAATGGATAAAACCATGGTTTTGAAATGTGGGTTAACATCACTTTAGTTCGGGAACACGTTGCCGACAACTGTCAAATTTCTATGCTATTTTCGTGTCAACTGTAATTTAAATTTGTAATGTGATAAATGTTATTTTATCTTCAAATTCAATATCAAATACTTTTTATTTACTTAATATACATTGTACTTGTAAACAATTGAATAGTGTCAATGTTTAGTGACTAAGTCTCATGATGGTTACAATTTTTTCTACATAAAAATTGTTACCATTACATTTTATTTAAATATATACGAGCACATACAGGTATGGATATTTACTATACAACATATTTCTACGAAACCCTTTGGTTAGATACTGCTTTAGAGATTTGGTCAATCTAGATCACGACTATGGATGAACCTTTTGCTTCGAAATTAATATCGGATCAACAATATTAGGATTGCTAAGGTAAGACCTTACAATTTCAATTATATAAGCAATCCAGTGGCTATAATGATTGAGGATTTAAAAAAACCATACAAAATTCTAATCAGATACGTTTGGTAATTAAAAGTTAATCGAACAAATTTTTGTCTGTCTTGCATGTTTTACACTTGTTTTCTGTCATCAGTTGCGTCACTGCTGACTTGTCTACATCAGCTGAGGGCAGAGAACCTGCGACTAGAGGAGAACGTCAACTCACTGTTGCAGCGGAGAGACCACTTGTTGGCTGTCAATGCTAGACTGGCCATCCCGTTGGTGCCTCCCAGCATACCTCCACCCACAGGTGAGCCAACATTCAGTGAAAACGATTCTGCGTAAGATGTTTTATTATAATAATCAACTATATGAAATACAAAAATGTTAAGAATAAAATGTAAAATAAGTAGGCCTAAATTAATCTGATTGTCATCCTTTTTGCAAGGTGTCAAAAGCTTTTGGATATCCTTGATCTCCCAGAAAGGATATCTCACTTTTACGTCTCAATTGGTTACCAGATGTCTCCAAAGAAAAAAAAAACAGAATACCAAAATGTATCTCCAACTATTTAAAATTATTTGATTTTTCAAAAAAGGAGGAGTACAACTACAAGATATATTCAACAAAACAAGTAGTGGAAGGCTTATGCTGATCTGCAAAACTTTTTTTAGAGTTTGGACATGAAAAGTGAGGTTAGAGTTAGCTTGGCTTTGTGCTCTAAACTAATTTAATTTTAGTGTGTACTGTAGGATGAATGTTGCCGGATTCTGTGGACACTTTTTTGGCCAGCGTCAGAATCCATAATTTTTTCAGTGTTAGATCAAATTCACTGCTTGCAGTTTACACCCTTGCCGTCTACCAGAGGCTTGAATGCCTCATTTTAGAGTTTCTCTATTATTTAGTGAAAGGCCAACTGGTCTAGTGGTTAGAACAGGTGACTTTAGGTATAGAGGCCCAGGTTACAAATCAAAATCTTGCCATTTACCAATTCGTTTTAGCCATGGTGTGCTGTGATCAGTTAGCTCGAAACTCACTTCAAGCTATTTGTCAACCTGTTTAGAAAAAAAATAGTATTTTATCTTTTATACAAGGAAGACTATCTCTGTATCGGAGAACTCCACTCACTAAATGCCGTACGATAACTATTAGCCTATTACATGTTCCAATGAGTATCCTCTGAAATAGTTTTTATTGTTTTAGTGAACAACATACATCCTGCAGCTGCCAACGTGCCGGTGTCAATGCCGATGGATGGGCGGCCAGTGAACGTACCACAGCCACCTAGAGTCAACAACACCTATCCCGGAGGTCCCGTGGAGAACGGACCAACGTCCCCCAGTCAGTCTTACCATCCTGGACAACCCAATCCGATCAGGTAATGATCAAATTAACCACTAGTAGTCTATAAGCACTAGTTCTGTTTTATTTATATTTTGTTATTAATTCAGTTTATACAAAAGATGTTAGACTTACGTTTATCTTAAAGCATATTAAATACTGTACGACATTTGTTTGTCCTATATTGCTTTAACAGTTACCCTTTGGTTTGTAGAAAAAGCTTGAACTTGAGTTATTTCGTTGAGCATTTAAATGTGAAGTTATTAAGGTCGTGATGTAACATCATTTTCGGAATTCAACAAATCAGTATCTTGAATTTTTGGTACAAATCCTTGATAACGTGATCCTTGATTACTCAAAATACTCAATATTTCAAAATGTTACACTTTCCCCTTCAGCTTCAAAGTATCGCAGCCCTTCTGTAGTCATTTATACTTGTATTTCAGATCGGGCTACTTTAGTAAATGGGCTCAGGGGCGCGATTGGTTTTATGTTTGCAAAGAAAAAATAATCCCAGACAATAAATGGGTACAGGGGGAGCGCAAATATCTCTTGGGCCCATAGCGTGTCACAAGCAAACCCATTTCACAAACCCAGATTTCAGTTCCCAAACATTTTAAAATATAGTAATTTTGTTAAGGCTGAAATTGCTGAAACTGAAATATACTATCAATTGTGGTAGTTTTAGTATCGACTTTAAAATAAAAACTAAAGTAATTACCATCCTTATGGACAAACATTAGATAAGTTTACTTAAGTCATTCCTATTGAGATTGTGCTTCTATTAGTGTAATGTTTAATTATGGATGGGTCAATTGTTAATGTTGTTTTTACCAGATTTTTATCAAATGAAAAAGTGAGTTTCAGTTTATCGGTTGTGCAATAATTTTGCTGCGCCGCAGTAGTTGGTTTGGAACACTTGTTCAACCAGATGTTTGTTTACTACTTTCATAATTATTGCTAGGTATGGTCGCAATTACAATCCCATATTTCATCATGCCAATATTAATCTTGGCAAGCACAAGTGACAATTTTTAACATGTAAACTACCTTAGCATAAGTAAAAAGAAAAATTATATTTTTAAATAAGAGATTTAAGGGGGAACCCCGAAAAACAAAAAACTGATAACCGACAACCTATTTAAAAAACTGAAACAAAACCAAATCGATGAAATCACAACCGACCCAACATTATAATTTATACTTAAATTATTCATATTTCTTACATTTGAAATGCGCAATGCATGAATCCAGGCAGGAGCATTATATTCCCTCTTTCAAAGCTTTGACAACTTATGTAACGTAAATTTTGCTCTAGCTTGCAGTAAGTTGTCCTTTAAGTTTGGTTTGGTTATAAATTGGCATGTTTAACATACCTCAGTAATTAACAATTCACTCTGTCAATGGGGCAATTCAACATCCATTTAATAAAACTGGTTATAGCAGTGACATGTGAATGGGATGACTAAAATAATCAATAGTCTTATATATTATACAATCTGAGTTGTATTCAGACCACTTATGTAAACTGCATTGATTATTCTCCGTGTACAGCAGACACCACAGTCCAGGCAGCACGGCGCAGACATACGTCTGCTCAGCGCCTGGGGTGGTCGTCCGCTCCACCAACATTACTTCCAACCCTGAGCCTAGAAGGTAATTATTTACAAACATAACTGACGTGGAGGAGAATGTGGATTCGAATGATGATGCACATTTTTTCCATTGTTGCATTAAATGAATTACGGATTTTTCAAGAGGAGTTTTGTTAAAATAAATCGTTTGATGCTGTAGCGGAGAGTTCAATAGTTCTATTTAATTTTTCAAACTTTGGAGTTCTTTGATAGAAGTGAATTAAAAAATGCTACATAATTTGTCATTTCAGGCTGGCATGTGAAACTAGTGTTTATGTAATAAAAGGATTACATTTTATTTCAATCTGTGTAGAATTTATGCAAATTTAACAAAACTGAAACCTTTATTTATTTAGGACTTTCTTCATAATTAGCTATATAACAATAAAAATAAATAAATTGATTAGTATACATTTGAAATGAAACCTTCACCAATATTTTAACAATTTTTAATTTTATAAAACTAAAAATTCTTAAAATATTGGTGAAGTTTTTGTTTCTAATTTATATTCATTCCAATATCACCAGTATTTCTTGAAGAAAATTGATTAGTGTTTTTCTCAGATAAATACAAATATTTTGTATTTATCTGATTGAGAACACAGTGCCATCGTTCAGATTCAATGTAGGCTATTGAACTATTTATCGTAATACGATGTGTAAACAACATCACTAGACTTTATTCGTAATCATGTTAAGCCCAATCAGAATTTAATGTCCTTCAGCATTACATACATGCTATAGACACTAGACAGTGTCGTTTTTAACATGTAAAATAAATCAAATGCATAACACAATTAATAATAGATTGGTTGATGGGTCTTTAATCGTAGTCTCATCCGATCGGGCTGCCAGTTATCAATTCGTGGCTTGCAAGGCAAAAGAGTGTAAGTACATAGGTTTATCATATGTACTTACGCCTTCGTTTTGCAAGTGTTGATGGCCACATGTGTGTGGTGTGGCTCTGCGTTCTCCAACGCACTGTAATGCCGCCATCATGTTTCATTCTGTACCCAGCTTTAGCTCCCTGACCCAAGTACTTGTTGCAGGTCCAGTAGTCAGTCTGGCAGTCATCCTCAGTCAGCTTACCCCATGTACTCAGTAGCAGCATCCCAGCAACAACAGGTGAGTCTTAAACATAGAGCCCACTCAGGCAACTAGAGATAACTGTGTAAAAGATATTTGCTTTCTGCAGGATTTTACATTAAAAGTAATAGAACAATGTTTTTACATTTGTACTGGTAACACTGTCTTGCCTTGATCTCTGGAGAAATTGAAGGCTTTGTTTCGTTTGGGACTTAAATAATTTATTTGTTGATCATTGTAACAGAGCAGGTATTCACTGCCTTTTGTATGGTTAATTGTACAGTAGACCCCCTCTTAACCGACCTTGTATTAACCGATAATCGGATTATCCGCCTTCGATCGTAAAATAAAACAGTTTGTTTTAAGCGACTTTGTTTTGAGAGCAGTTCAGTTTAACCGCCACTTTCTAGGAATCTCGGCATTTCCGCTCCCACGCTGGGCGATGAGAACTGAACCATACGCTTATCTCCACAGGATATGACTAAGAATAAGTTATTTTGTATTGATCCCAAAAAATATATATAGAGAGAGAGAGAGAAATTCTTTATTTACAACAAATTATTTTGCAGCATTACATGAATCAAATAAAAATATCACATGGGTCACAATGACCTGTGCATGATAGAGGCATAGCCTATTGTCAGTTTGTCATCATCGTTCGTAGCCTGAGCACATCTGATGAAATGAAATGAAATATGAAATATGCTTTATTGTCTTTTGAATTTGTACAAATCATCGACAATGTCAAGATACAGCTAAAATTATAGCATAGTCAGGTAATTAATTAATAAAATACTTATAGCTAACTTAACAAAGGGAGACATATTATAATACATATTCTAAATGAATAATTACAACTGAAGAATCTTATTCTTAAAAAAATCTTCCAAACTATAAAATGGGTTATTGGTCAGCCAACAATAAAATTTACTTTTGAAATCCTTTATATTGTGTAATTTAATTATGGATTCAAGAAAGTTGTACACTTTAACCCTAGCAGTGGCCAATGTTAGAAGTGGGGAATGGCCAACCCATTTTGGCGATTTTGCAGACCATTTTTTGAAAATTCGTAAAAATTCAACCGTACAAGTAAACCTAGCCAACCTCATATTCATTTTGTTCGGAAAGAACAGGAGAATCTAGAAATAGTAATATCATAATGATTTAGACAGTGTATTTTATCGGTAAAGTGAAAAAAATAAAAAAAACACGTTTTTTTTTTAATTTTTTTTGAATTTTTTTTGAAATTTCAAAAGCGGCCTCTGCATTTTTTTTCTACGGATTTTTTTATGGGAAATTCATTATATACATTTTGTAGACAATCTAATTCCCTACATAGAAATATATAACATGTTAGGAAAATATTTTTTTTTATAAGTTTTTGGGGCGAAATATAATGACAAACGGAGAACCGAAAAAATTGAAAACCGTACAGTGTTAGTTTATGTTGTAAAAAGTTCTATAATATATGTGTATACTAATAATGATATATACATGTTTGTAAAGCTAATGAAGTAAGGAATCAAAAAAAGTCATAAAGTTTATGGTAAAAATAATTTTTTACCTATAAACATACGTATATAAAATAATGTTTTTAGGCTATATTTTAGCGATTTCTCGAGAAAAAAATTCACAGTACTTAGTATACAACTTTTGTACCAAATTTGTTTACTTCAAACCAACATAATAATCTTGTAGTGTATTCAATTACCTACATAAAAATGTATAACATGTTAGAAATATTTTTTTTTTGTAGGTACGTAATAGGGACATAATAATACAATAACCGCAAAACCGCAAATAAGTGTAAACTATAGCCTACAGTGTTTGCTTGTGTTGTGAAACATTATGTAGGCTGATGATATGTAGCCTACATATTTGTAAAGCTAATGAAGTAAGGAATCCAAAAAAGTCATAAGTATGATAGTAAAAAGTTATTTTCACCTATGATTATGTATCAATTTGAGAACGTTTTGAATTTTTTGCGCATTTCCAGAAAATGGAGTGTACAGTATTTAGTAGCCTATATAATTTTTTTACCAAATTTTTTACACCCAAACCAATATAAACATGTTGTAGTGTATTCATTTACCTTTATAAAAATGTATAACACCTTGGGTAAATCATTATATAGCATATATAGCACCTCTGAATGTCAGAATCGTCATTTTTGAACATGATGCTAACAAAATACAGTAGTAGGCCTATTTAGTATTGGCTATAACTTTTTTACAAAATTTTTTACCCCCAAACAATTATAAACATGTTGTAGTGTATTCATTTACCTTTATAAAAATGTATAACACCTTGGGTATATCATTATATAGGTACAACAATCTCTGAATGTCAGAATCGTCATTTTAGGACATGATGCTAACAAAATACAACCTTTTATGAACACTATTTCACACAATTCAGTAATATTTATGCATGAAGATTACTGTTATACACACACACACAACACTTCACTAACACTAACACTACGAAACTAATAACATATTTAGTAATAAATCGCGGATAAAACTATTACGGCAACAACACAAACAAACAATGGCAATACAAGACAGCTGACAGACTGTAGCAGTAATGACTCACTTGTCGTCTACATGCGAGCATACAGAAATAACCCTGAGTGCAGGGCTGCCACTCTCTGAATCTAAATTTCTTCCTCTTCAAAATGATATACTATATGACTAGTAATAATAACTTTCACTGTATATAATTCGTATTTTCCATACTGTCACCAGACGACTGTTGGCCATTTGTTAGAAATTTCAAAAACAGCTGTTTTCATAAAATCGTACCGATTGTGCAATCAATATTTAGTTATAAATATCACTACCACAATGAAGATAAAATCAATGGCTATCCAGTGGTACCACCCGCAATATCCCAAGACGAAAATTACCCGAGCAGGGTAATGCCTAACAAGACGTGTTTTGCCAGTTCCCAAGTGTCGGCTGCAAAAGTCGTACCGCGCCAAAATTTCATTTGATTTCTAATCGTCGTGACATTGTTATATACCTGCTACAGGGTTTGTTTATGTAATCAAATGAAAGTTCAGAATGTGATCTTTCGAATGGTATATATATTATTCTCATCTGAGTTGATTGTAAGTGTTTTTTTTACCGTTAAAAAAATTTCGGCCCATACCGTCACCAGACGACATTGGCCATTCTAAGCATCAACGTCATACCGTCACCAGGCGACGGTTGGCCACTGCTAGGGTTAAGTGATAAAACTATGTGACTATTTAGAGTTTTACTGAAACGATGGAATTCTATTGAGGTATGGTTCTTATTTCTGGTATTATGATCATGAGTATGGTTTCTAAATTTTAAAAGATGTTGATTTTCCAAGATATAAACTATTAAGTCATAAATATAACGTTAATAATAGTAGGGATTTGAAGATTTCTAAAAAGTGGTTTGCTGTGGTCTCTTGAGCCTTTATTAGAGATAACTCTAACCGCTTTCTTTTGCCAAACAAGAATTTCCTCTACCCTAGCACAATTGCCCCAAAAAATTTGCCCATACCTGAAAATGGATTGAAAATATGAAAAATATGCTGTTCGGACATAATTTAATGGAATGCATTTTTTCAGACGACCTAGTAAAAATATTACACGAGAAAGTCTGGTATTTAAATAGTCTATATGAGAATCCCATGTTAGCTGACTATCTACATATATTCCCAAAAACTTTGCTGAAAAAAACTTTACTACCCTTATCACTGTTCTCAAACAACTCTCTTGAATTATAATTTAAGGAAAATGTCAATTTTTGTGATTTTTCTTTGTTAAGCAAAAGTCCATTACTATGAAACCAATTTTGTGCATTATTTAATGTTTCATCAGCCAATTTTTCAAGTTCTTTATAGTTTTTACTAGTAGATAAAAAGGTAGAGTCATCTGCGTACAGAATGGTTTTACAATTAACAGAAGAGGGTAGATCATTTATATAGATTAAGAAAAGAAGGGGACCAAGGACTGAACCCTGTGGCACTCCCCACTCGACTGACACTTCATCTGACCATCTTCCTTTTATACAAACTGCTTGTTTCCGATTTTGCAAGTAGCTTCTTAAAAAATATAATGGAGGGCCATCAAATCCATAGTACTGTAATTTAGAGATGAGAATATTACTGTCAACAGAGTCAAAAGCTTTACTGAGGTCACAGAAGGTGGCCTGAGCATAAGTTTTATTTTCGAAAGAGAGATGAACTTGCCTGACTAGATCGTCCAATGCATTGAGAGTGGATTTTCCCTTTCTAAAACCGTATTGGTTGTTGTTCAAGATGTTGTTTTTTTCAAAATAATTTCTGATTTGATCGTAAATAAGTATTTCTATTAGTTTTCCCAATACAGGTATAATTGAAACTGGTCTGTAGCTCTGAGGTTGGTCCTTAGGACCTTTTTTGTAAATAGGACAGACTCGAGAGACTTTGATCAAGTCAGGAAAAACCCCTTCTGATAAAAGGTTATTTATGCATATTGCCAAGGGGTTAGCCAAACAGTCAATAATTACTTTTAACAGATTGTTTGACATATTGTACACATCCACACTAGCTGATCTTTTCATCCTTTTAGTGGCACTAAGAATATCACTAGGTGTGATGGCTGACCAACAAAATTTATTACAACTATCAATTTCATATTTTTTCAAAAAATCATTACAAGAAGTGATTATACCTGGAATTTTAATAATTTGTTTGATCTTGTCTACACTGTCAACAAAAAACCTATTGAAAGTATTTTGCTCAATTTGCAAATCAGCTGTGTTTTTTATTTCACAGTTATTCTTTATTACCTCCCATGCGGCTTTACATCTGTTATTACTTTCTTCTCTGTATTTAGCATTGTTTTCTAGCTTTGCTTCATATAAAGAGTTTTTATATTGACATTTCAGTATTAAATATTTATACCTTAGTTCAGTATTGTTCACATTTCCAGTATCTTTAAGCAAACTATACAAACACAATAGCCTTTCTTTCATTTGACCCAACTCTTTAGTATACCATCCCTTGTTCAGTTTGTTCAAATACTTAGGTTTGAATAGTTTACCTTTATTTTTATTTGGGACCATAAAATAATTAATATTGTTGATTAGTATATTAAATAAACATTGGAACTGCATATTAGCACTACTACTCTCAGACTTGGACATTAAAGATAGCCAATCATAAGTAGACAATTTTAGAGACAGATGTACATGACTTTTAATAGGCAGATAAAACTGAATGGGATCTTTTGAGACTAAATGAGATGTATTATCTATAACTAATGGTTCATTCTGCATATTAACAATAATTCCATCATGGTCCGAAAAAGGAAATTTGAACAAACTTAAAAAAGAGAGCCTAGCAGATTTTTGGTTTACAAACACATTATCTAGACAGTTTGTGCCTCTAGTTGGTGAATTATTTAAATGATAAAAGTTGTACTGTTTAAATAGATTTAACAAGTTTTTTACATTTCTTTTGCTTTTAGTAACATCAAAATTGTGGTTGAAATCACCACCGATGACAATATTATAGTTGTTCCACTGAGTTATAAAAGGTAAAAAAACATCCAAAATCCTTAAAAACTCCAAAGGTCTACCATTAGGCGAATGATACAAAGAAACAAATATAGTTTTTAAAGAATCTATAAATACGGATGAAACCTCAAAATCCAATTCCTGACAGAATTGGCTTACTGTTCTTGATCTGATTTGTTATCTGTGCGGCAAATTTATAACATCATAAAGTGCGTTACGATTTTGAGATCTGATTTTCTTATCCCTGGAGTAAACAACAACGCAACTTGTAGGGAGGGCAGGGAAGGGGGGTTAACAACTCCAAGGTCAAGATAAACACCCGGTCTTGTAACAAAATGGTTGATTGTATCTTTAGTTTCGACAAAAGGTTCTGTACTGTATTACAATGGATTTGGAAAGTATCAATTAATACATTGAAGTACTAAAGTTATTAAAACATGAAATTTATTGGCTCTTGCCTAGTATTATAATATATTCCACTGAAAGTAGGCCTATTTGACTTAACCGTGTTTTGTTTTTAGGCTATTTGTGACTTTTCTATCAATACAAAAAATGAGATAAGAGTAGTTTAGTAGTTTATTTTATAAATAATGCAAGTATGACTTCAAAATAATGATTATATAATTCCAATTAAATGGCACTTCATTATGTTGTGATTTTAGGGGTTGCCCGTTTTAACCGACCTTTTGAGTTATCTGACTTAGTGCCGGCCCATTTGGGTCGGTTAAGGGGGTCTACTGTAACTATAATGTTTTTCCACTGCCTTAAAATTGTACTGATGCGGCTGTCCACTTCCTTATATTTAATTGTAATATTGAACGTTATGACAGATTATCTACAGCCTTTTATACAGGGTGATTGATATAAGTTTGCCAGCTGTTTCATTCAAAAGTTATAAGAGATACTAGCTGTACCCGCGGGCTTTGCCCCGTTTAACTTCATAAGTATTCGCATGGCTCATTCACGTCCTGGTTGAAGTTCGTTCGCTAAGCTCACTCACCTTTAGGTTGGAGGTCGTTCGCTGCGCTCACTTGCCTTCAGGTTAGCTCGTTCGCTACGCTAACTCGCCTCCAGGTTGAAGTTTGTTCGCTACGCTCACTCACCTTTTGGTTGGAAATTAGCTGTTGTCACAAATAAAAAAAAATAATAATAGCGCTGCACAATGTTGGTAATCCTTGTAACTGTTATGCTATTGGACATCATAGAACAAAACCAACTTGTTTAATTGAAACAGCTGTTAAGATTCATTAATTCCTTTTAAATATGAAAAACCATAAGGTTAACATGGGGAACTACAGAGCCACTGGGGCGGAGCCCGAAAGGATTTTTGGGATAATAATATGCTTTAATGTTAATCGGGAATGTGAGCTATCATCATGCCAAATTTCAGCCCAATCCGTCCAGTAGTTTATGCGTGATTGAGCAACACACACACACACACACAAACTCACAAACTTTCAGATTTATAATATTAGTAAGATAGTAAGATAAGATAAGATAAGATTAACAATGTTAAATGGTAACTGCCTTGGATTTTTATTTGAAAAATGTTTAGTCAAGTTTAACAAATAATTTTAACTGCCATTTTCCCAATTTGGCAGCCAACTTTGATCTTTCTTATTTATCTTAAATGACCAAAATTTTTTTAATAAAAATCCAAGGCAGTTACCATTTAACACTTTTTATATCTCTTATAACTTTTGAATTAAGCAGCTGGCAGACTTATATCAATCAACCTGTATAGCATAAATTTGGGGGCACTATAAAAACTTGAAACCCCACAGTTAACTTAACTTACTTGTTCACACCGCAATAGTAATACATTTTCATTCATATGGACCAGCGACGCACATATGCGACGGCCGGTTTCTACCCATAGACTGCCATCGCATTTACTGGTCACATTAAAATAGAGTGATGTCACATATTTGCGTTGGTGTCCTAATGTTATTAAAGAGCTTTTATCTTTGTAACGGTCTGTTTGAAGGCCCTAAATTCTCTGTAGGGATGTATGTCGTATATGTGCGTCGTCACTTGGTCTGGGGATATGATGATTAGTGACGTCATATGATTGTTGGCAATATGTGTAATATTAAAATGTATATCTCGGTCTGTGGCAATCAGTAGCGAATGTGTTTAAACAAACACATGACCAGAACCACTTGATTTCAACCAATCAGAACAAGTTGGTGGTACTTCTTAGTAAATGTGTGTTTTCTTTTCATTAAAGTAATTTTATTTGCAAAACCATTTCAAATTAACTCTTGAAATTTTTAAATATAACCGGTATTTAAGTAAATTAAATGACTTGGTAGTTTCTATTTTGTAGCATGTTTAATTCGTTCGGTTTATTAAATCAAAAATAGCGACCTCTTCCTGGGACACCCTGCAGTAAAATTGTAATGATGGAGACTATTGCCTTCTATTATATCCTCCTCAAATACAATGCCGCAGCAAAACATAAGTGGCAACGCCGCAGTTCACCATTCTGAAACTTATTCCTGTTATTACCATGGCAATAGCTATAGAAAAGGCTATTATTTTATACGAGAGGTCGTCCAGTGGTCGAAACTCGACCAAAAATATGTAATGTACTCACTTATCTATTTTCACCCCACACTGTAAATAAAACATGTGATTGGAGTTTCCTCCATTTGTTTTGATTTTCTGTTTATATTTCGTTGTTATTTCGTAACCAGCATAGCAACGCATAAGATCCATGTTAATTTTTTCAAATTTTTAAACTCATTTTTTGTGCTTATCTTTGAGCCTATTTAAATTTATAAAGGGATTCTGCACACCTACAGGAAAATAGCTTTCCAACGGTATGCGTAGATTTTCCCTACGATTCACACCACCTGAGAAAAAAGGTTTTAAAGAAACATGCTTGCCTATTAATATATAGATAGATAGTTGTAATTACCACTGCTTTTTAATATAGTTGTAATGATTAAAGACTGTCCTCTGCCCATTAGATCGTGATGAGAAGAGATCACTCCGACCACCATCATCCGTCATCCAAGCCGAGCTGAGCCCTCTCTCTGCTGCAATTCCTAGTGGATAGTTAGAAACTCTGTACAGTTTAGTACTCGTTTTAAACTTTGTCATAGTAATTTAGTTATGTGATAAAATCAAAAAGTTAGTAGTTACTGTTATCGAGATCGATGTCACTTTTATACCCGCTGGTTTATAATGTGCTGTGACTTTATTGTTCCCCGCTACTTTATTGACCAACTTTAAATGTCTTCGCTGTAAGATTAGGGTGGACAAAACACCAATGTATGTTAAATGTGAGACACTTTTTGTGAACGTTTTTTTTTTATTTTAATTTATTGATTTCAATAAAATTAATATTGAATTTGCTGTTTGAAAATGGCCTTTATTTTCTGTATTCTAATCATATGGTCAATTATACATGTTTCAATGTACATAATTGATGTAATACCATTGATTATTGGATACTGAAGATGTGTCAATAGTCAAAGGTAATACGTAACTTAAATTAAATTTGAAGTTAGGTACTGTTCTAGTAGCATTGGCTAGCATTAGTCGTATTTAATATCGTAGTTGATATTGTTAGATGAGAATAAAATGCAGGGAAAATAATTGTGCTTGGGAATTGAAAAAAAACCAAGAAGAAAACTTTTTTTTTGGGAGGTAGTAATTTTGTTGTTAAATGTTTGTGTAGGTCGGGTAAGCTATTTGTGTTTTAAGTGTTACCTTAAAGTGTTCATAGGATTGCCATAGTTAAATAATTGTTTACTTTTAATTTTGTATATTAATAATATGTACATTTATTATTTTGTATGATTTTTAACAAAACCATTTTTATTTGGGTTTTTTTTTCAAGATCATGATTTATTTCTATAATATTCAGTCTATTTTCTACGAACAATTTTGTTAATAATTAGGCTTGATGAAGAAAATTCTTTCAATATTTCTAAGTTGCTATTTTGTGTTGTAAAACATTTGAAAACCGTTACCAGCTATGTTACAACACAACATGCCATACATCATCTTCTACTAACAGTACTAACATTATAAACCATGTGCTATTTTCACTTTTCCCTTCAATACACTTTGAGGTATTGTTGTAAGGCTAACATAAGAAACTCCAGAGCCACCGGGGCGGAGCCCGAAAGCCTGATCAGGATAACAACTACTTAGTTTTCCTATTTAATGCTCAAAGAATCGGTGTACCGAATTTCAGCCTCCTAGGTAAATGGGAAGTGGGAGAATTAGTGACGAGTGAGTGAGTCAGTCAGTGAGTCAGTGAGGGCTTTGCCTTTTATAGATGACTAAATCTTTGTACTTCTTATTGTGTTAGTACTGGACAAGTTAGGAACTTAAACCCCTGTTAATCCCTAAATTATTATGTTAGATAATTAGATCATAATGTAAATCTCAGATACAAGGGAAAATTGGAAAATCTCTTTTCCTACAGTTACCTGACAAAGTGGGCTTTCTTGCACTGATTATAGTACTTTAGTAGGATACTGATTCTAGGTATTATTTTCATAATCAAGTCAAGTCACAAACATAAAATATTCACCACAATTTGATTGACGTTTAGTTCTACAGCATATCAAAATGAAAAATCATGAGTTCAAAGAATTTGTATTATCCTTGTTCAAATAATCGACACACTTTTTTATAAATGGTCAACACTATTACAATATAATTGTTTCTTTTAGACTGATTAGTGTATTATCACCTAAAACGAGTCTGATCCTAATTTTAAAAAATCTTCCTAGAAAATAAGTGTCTTGCTCATTTGATCTAGGACCAATATAAATAAGCATTGTAAATATTTGATGTAGTTTTTTGTACTTTGTAAGTAGTAAGATTAATGTACAAATATTTAGTTAAGCAATTATTAAAGGGATATTTACATAATATTCAGACTAATGGTTTTTACAGTGAACTGCGGAAGTTAGTTTAATTTTGATTTCTTGACTTAGCAATTTACTTATTTTATGTTCACTGAAAATGCTGCCTAATTTAAATTCTGGCTGCTAAGTAAAATTTTCTCATATATTTCTGGAAACTTGAAAAAGAAACATTCGTCTACAGTTGTCATGCAAAGTGGTATTTTGTTCACTTGAATTGGTTTGCAAAAATCAGCTGATTTCTCAACATTTTACCTTAATGACAACTAAACAGAACCAAAATTAAGGCCTACCTGTGTAGGAAAATTCATTATGACTACAGGAATGTCCTAATTGTTAGTGAACAAGTATGCCTGATATTTTTAGATAAAAGTGACTTTAAGATCAAACTTTTTGATTTTTGAACAACATTGTATCCAATTAATGTTTTAATAAATTTTAGTTGTCATAATACAACTGTAGACAAATAAAAATGTGCAGTTTGTGTGAAAGTGTCTTTTTAAAACGTAATAAAATTGATCAAATTTGACTCACCAAAAAGCAGCATTTTTCTCACTAGTTGCTTCATGTGAGTTTTATATCAATAGTTAACTTTTAAAACTATTTCCCACTAGTGTTTTGAAGTTAGCGCTGTGTTCGTGACGGTCTCTAAAGTTAAGGTGTTAATATAAATGTTGTGTATATAATCTTGATAAATATCCAAGATATGAGTTTTAATTGTAACCCTCAAATTTGGTAAGTTTTTCTCATATCAGCCTACACAAGATAATCAAAACCAAAATGGCGGTTTCCTCTACGTACCAGATTTACAAGCTGTTTATACAAAGGCCATAAATCTTGAATTTTGTTTCTATAAGCATGGCGAATGTGTAACAGTTTTATACAACAGATGTAAAGATCAAAATGTTTCGTGTCTTCTTCCCGTTGCAAAGCACAGTTACAACAGCTATAGTTCGGTCGCTTGGATAGCGACCTGCGCGCTAATGCTAATCGATGCTAGAGGAGGTCGCTATCTAAGCGGCCGAACTATAGTATTTTATTAATTCTTATTTTAAATTTGATTGCAACCAATGTTAACAGATCTATATGGAGATTGAGTTAACTAGGGCTAATTCCCTTATATGATTTTAATCTAACAAAAAAGTCTTATACTTGCTGCAAAAGAAAGAAACTCATTGACAAGAATATAAATTTATTTTCAACAATCACTAGAACAATAATTTTCATACTTAAACTAATTAACAATACATAAACAATGGAAAACTTAGTTCTTTACTGACAGTTCCTGTTAAAACATTTTTGTTAAGAAACTTGGCTTCTTGTTCTTATTTATTAATGAAAAGTTTAAAAATGGACTTTACAAATTTGAAAACTCATATAAATTTAATGAAACAAGGTACAGAGCTGGTTTTGGTGTTGTTTTAAAGGAAAACACTTCAAGATTTTATAGGTGGATTCTGTTTGGTTATCCTGCAGACATCCCATTGGTAGTAGATTTTTTCCCAGACCCGCACTAGCATTTGAGGTGTTAATTCACACTCAGCGGCAGCGTTAATTCTTGCTCTAACTTCAGGTAGAGTGGCCGTCAAAGGAGGTACATACACCTTGTCTTTCATGAAACCCAAGAAGATAAAAATCTAGCCGTGTCAGGTCAGGGGAACGGGGGGGGGGAGGGGCATGCAATTGGCGCATCATGGCCAATCCATTGATCTGGAAAGTGGTCATTGAGAAAATCCCGGACGTGTCAGATAGTGTGGTGGTGCGCCGTCTTGCATGAAGTAAACATTTTGTTCTCGGTCGTCATCATTGATCTTTGACATCAAAAATTGTTGCATCGTATCAAGGTACACTATCCCGCTGATGGTTCTCTCTTGGAAAAGAGGGGCGTACATTTCCCACTTGCTCAACGCACAAAAAACTTTCATTTCAGGGCTATCACAAACATGCTGCAATGTTTCATTTCGATTTTCACTGCCCCAAGGAGGATCTTTAACCTATTTGGTCAGAAAATTACGCTTAACTGTTGTCGTCAACTTCGATTCTTCAAACCAAAACACACAGCTAGCACACTCTGGTTCAGTTAACACATCCATTTTCAACGTAACTGCCGCTAGCGCTTGTGTGGCTTATGCGGCATTATTAGGCACTGGTGAATTACGGGGGTCAAAACTTGATGTGTTTCCCTCCCTTTAAAACAACACCAAAACCAGCTCTGTACCTTGTTTAATTTATTTTATATGAATTTTAAAAGTTGTAAAGTAATTTTTTAAACACCCTGTACTTAACAAAATTATTACTAATCGGTGTCTTTTTTGTATTGTTAACAAAAATTTTGTAATGTACCTTTGATGTTCAGCCACAAATTAAATTTATTTTAGATCCATGAACTTCTTACGAAGTTAATTGTTAAAACTAAAAGCCTTCCAAAAACTCTACGAATATTTTATCTTATCAGTCATCTTGAGGATAGAATACTTTTAACTGTCTTCTCACTTCATCTTCAAGTCTTGCTAGTGTAAGACTGTCTTCATGGGTTACCAATGGGCTCTCCTTTAGTCCTGAAATATACAAAAACAATTTTATTACAAGTACCGAAAGTGGCATTTGCCCATGCACTCAAAGTTTGAAAGAAAATGTATAACGCAAAATACACACAAACAAAATAGGTAAAAGGGTTTGGTCCAACTACAGTGCAGTATTATATTATGGAAAGTAAATAAAAGAAACGTCTTATAACACTTAAAACATATATTTACGCTCATACTGTTACTCACAAGACGGTAAATATACAAAAAAGATGGCAAGTGGTGATCGATTTAGATTGGACACTCCAATCATCATCAGACCCAACATTGATCACCACTTACCATCTATTTTTATATTTACCGTCTTGTGAGTATAAGCATAAATCTGTGTTTTAAGACGTTTCTTTTATTTACTTTCCGCAAATTTGATAACACATACAATGCTGATCAAGATGTTATTTAGTATTATATTTCCCAATTATTTTTTTTCTTAATATTTAAATAAAATAAAATTGGTTATAACAAACCTGCATAACAACGTAAAAATTATAGGTTTAGGGTTATGTTTATTGTGCAGCAGTAGAGTATACTCCCTCTTATCTGGACACCTTTTAACCAGACATTGGCTTAACCGGACTACACTCGGCGGATATATGACATCTTTTTAACCGGACAATTTTTATCAGCACATCGGTTTAACTGGACTAGATCGGCAGGAAGTGGGCGGTAATGAAACGACTGTTCTCGTGGGAAATATTTTAGACCGGTGATCACAAGTCTAACAACAATGCTCTCCTAAATTTAATTCAAATACTGTATACATATACAGTATGAATTTAAATGTTCAAACTTGTCAGTTTTAACAAGTTTTTGGGGACGTCGGTTTAACTGGCAAACCGTTATCCGGACTGGCCTCGGTCCCGAGGACTTATGGCTCGCGTGCGCGAGAGAAATAACTTTTTCATTCCCTGAGGAAGCAGGACATTATTTTGGTCCTGTGAAACGTCGGAGTATATAAGCACGATTTTTAGGTTCGTGTGTGTATGTATAACTGTGTCTTTGTGGTATGTACATTTTGACGGGTCCTGGATTAACACATTAAGGTGAGTGAAGCCAACAAGATTGATGAATATAATAACCTCGCCTAAAAACATCTAATTAAAAATAACACTGAATATATTGGAGGGTTTGAGAAAAACTAAGTTGAGACCATGATAGTTGATTGTTTCAGCAATCTCCAAATTTGGAAAATTTATTATAGTAATTTGGATGCTTTTAATTTCATCATTGTACATTTTGAAACCATACATTTTTTATAGTTACCTTCTCTGAGACATCTTCGCACCTCTGCTGCTTCGTAACTAAGACCAACGCTGTTGACAAAATTGAACGAGCCTTTACTTTCTGGCAGAGAAAATTCCTTTTCTTCTGTTTTCCCCTTCTGTGGAGAAAACATGATCTTGGTTGCCGACCAGAAGGGTGAGTGGATCTAGACATAAAATAGTATTGTTTACAATTATTTTGCACAGATTGTATTATATGAGAGTATTTTGTTGATAAACGTTAAAGAATTATGAGTGATAGTTTGTAGAAAGGATCTTCGTCGAAATGACAGATTGGTATTTGATAGATTGATACTCACGTGAACAAACTTGCAGGAGAAAATGTGTCCAATATTGTACAAAAACAGGTTTTTTAACTTTTTTTAGAATAGGTATAACTAAGGTCTACATAGCTAAGAGATTCTCAAAAATGTATTGAATACAGCCACAAGTTTTAATCTTGATTGGTGCCCTAATTTTTTTCTGGAGTAGATAAAATTGGCATCACCCACAGACAAACAGAAATTTCGATAAGATTAAACTATACATCATTATTAGTCTAGGCGAGAAACGTAAAGGTAACGACAGACTTCATAATTATACACAGTGTACAGACAAATCTGCAATTTTGTTTACATTGATCATAGTTTTGAGGAAAATGTTTCATTTGATCCTAATAGACTAAATGATTTCAAAAGCCACCAGCTGATAAGTTAACAGTTAACTTACAGTGATGGTTCCTTTGGTCCCCACAATGTGAGCAGTGTTAGGTAGTTGCACTTTGCTGTGGGTGGAGCAAACAGCTGTTCCTCCGGCGGGGTAAGTCAACACAGTGACAGAGTCTACATCCACCCCTTCCGTGTTGAGATGACCTGCCGCAACAACAGACGACGGCTGACCTCCAAACACTAGCATTGCCATCTGAAGTGTGTATATGCCTAGATCTAGCACTGTGCCTCCACCGAGCTCCTTCTTCCTGCCATAAATGATTAACAACTTTTGTCTCTTAGAAAAAAGGTATTGGTTTTGTCAGTTTCCTGCCACCCTAAGGGATTAGATTTTAGATTTAGATTTAGATTTGTTGTCATGAGAGCCGAAGCCCCCTGACTGCTTACCCGGTACCTATCCTTCAGGACATACCCGGGCCCCATGATGTAGGCCGAAGCTTACGCATCAACCTTTAGCACATCATGGGCGAATGACTTAAGGTCATCAGGCTCGCCGGCTGCCGAAGCAGACCCTTCGGAAAGAGGGTTGCCCCTCAATCCTAACCAGGGATTCCGGCTGCTTGTTTAAGCGTCACTCCACCTGGGTTCCACTAGGTCGGAACCTAGAGGTCCATAGTAGAGCGCCCCGACGCATTTAGTGCAAGCAACACTCGGGACCTATCTCATCCCTGACAGGCAGAACCCGCCATCAATAGCCAGGAGGAAGGGGACCATCAGCACGCTGACGGGGGGAACCCCAAACTCCCATTTACACCGCTGCCCGATCGAGGCCTGACCCATTGCTGGGAACCAGAGATATCCAGAGCGATAGATCCCCAGATACCCCTGGCGGGCTCGGACCCAGCACCCGATCTACTTCGTTTGCCCGTCAGACCCAACATCACTGCCAGGCCATCAGGGTTTCCCAAAAGGAGGCAGGTATAGAAGTGGGACCCACCCGGATGAACCTATCCACCAGAGGTGGCGACACCCTTGACTCAATTGAGGTTCCGGGAAGAACCCCCCACACTCAAGATAACCATACCGTCCGTGCTCAGAGACAGGGATAGGTTTGCATAAGTACCTACAAACCGTTGCCCTCACACTGCGGAAAGTTACGTTGCCCTTGAGTGTCCCCGTGAGCTGCGGGTACTTGCCCGTTTTCACCTCCAGGAAAGGTTACTTCCAAAGTCGAGGATCTGCCCACTGAATGCTGGTCGCACACAACAAGCAGGCCGAAGCCCAAAGAACCACAGACACAGGTAGGTTAGAGATTATGATGTACTTCCATCTCTCCTAGAGCTAAACACCCCTCCATCCTGGATAAAGGAATGTCACTGGGACCCGATGCCCAGTCGACCATGTCTGTGGCCAACTTGAAAATGCCGATACCAACACGGAGCATTTACCTCCCCTCTGGGGGCTAGGTATTTCACCTCCCAGGACGAGGCTACTTCCAAAGTCGAGGATATGCCTCACAAAATGTCAGTCGAACACAGCAGGTAGGACTCAGTCACAACCACAGTTACAGGTAGATGAGGAGAGGCGGAATTAACGGCATCACTGAGAGCTAAACACCCCCCCCACCCTGAATGGAGGGAATGTCACTGGAGGCTCCCCCTAAGGGGCTGGCGCTTACCAGTCGTCCATAACTGTGGTCTACCTGAAGTGCCGGGTCTGACACCGGGCAGTTACCTCCCCTCTGGGAGAGCTAGGGTCCGCGTGGTCGCCCAGGCCACGAACCCACGCAAGCGTGAGCCCCCTGCGGTTACCCTAAGGGATATTCAACTTTGTCTCTGTAACTTTCTAAATAAAGGAAAAGAGTGGATTCTTTCAACATTTCCTGCTATGCCATAGGATTTACATGGCCAGTCCCTGCCACATTCTAAATACCTACAGACCTTTTTACTAAAGTTTTCGAGAGAACAATTTGTCATGCTTTGTAAACTTGAAGATGTTTTAAAAGTTCTCTCGGGCTAGAGAATGTCTGTGGAAATGCAAAAATGGTATATTTTCTATTAAGTTTAATGTACGGTAAAACCCTAGTTATCTGAAATCGGGTTAATCAAACATAGTGTTCCATAAACAAACTGTTCCATGAATAATTAATAATGTTTTTTTTTTATTGAGTTCACCGAGAAATCCAGACTACTAGGTTTTTGGTTGCAGAGTTTCTAAATACATGCAAATCTAAATAATACAGTAAAAGTCAAATTCAGAGAAAATAGGAAACCATTCACAATCAACAAACCATATTCTGTCAACATCGATCTTGGCTCCAAATGAGACGTCCAGAAAGAGGGGATCCCCTATTGATTTGTCGAGAAGTAACTGTCTCAAATATCCATAAGCTGGCAAACATCTACTCCATACAGCCTCCATCAGAAACAGCTTTTTCTTCTTGGCTACCTAAATGATATAAGAGTAGAATTTGACATTTCATAATTTTAAGTGGGATAAAAAACATTCTTGACTTGCTATTGTTTTATCTTTAAGGTGCAAATAATTAATAGACCTAAATCATTTAACAGTGATTTCCTCTATCAAACAAAAAAATTATTTAAAAACTCAACAATTTAAGCCACACGCCTAATTTTTAAGACAATAATAGGTTTTTTACATACCTCCGTGAAATAGTACAACAATTAATATTGCTCATCAGCTTATAAGTTTTGTTGCGAAGACAACATTTAAAGCTTGCAACTTTGGACTATTTAACAGATGTATGTAGAAAAACTAATTATTGTCAATATTATTAATCCATGGGCCAGTAACATGAATTTTGATTAGTTTTTAATCTTTCATTGTTAAAATACTTTTTTGTTGTTATTCATTTTATGTCTTTTATAGGCCTAATAAAATATATTTAGTATAGCACAATGTGTCCCAAAATAAAGAAAAAAAAAAAACATCTATGTGCAATCCATTAAACTAAATAATGCGGTCAACAAGCCGAACACAGATGATTTAGGGGCCGTTTATGGTGGTGGGCCTCTCTCACCAGCTAAGCCACACATTATTGAGCTTAATACTGATTGTACATGTACGGGATTCAAAACCCGTACAATGCCTTAGCCAACTGAGCTACCATGCCACTGTTGTTCGCCGAACGTGACATGTGTCGCTATAAGCACACTAGCGCTCGCAAATGAGATTCAACAAACTAATGCTCCTCGGGAGCTATAGGCCCTACTTGGGCTTAGGTTTTTAAGTGTCCCATCCTATGTTATCTAGTGATGAGAAGCCTGAAGGGCCGATTCACTTAAAGTTCTTTTTTTTGGGCTGGACACAAAATAGATTGGATAGACCTCTTGCAATATAGAAAGGCATACGTGTATATAACATAAGGTGTACAATTATTTTTTAATTCACCAAATCAAATAAAATAAAATCATTAAATCAAATCATGTTTATTAGCACATGAACGTACAGAGATAAATGCACAGGTGCTTCGTCATTCTTCTTATAGCCTAATATTATACAGGGTGATTTTTAAATGAGTTCCCCTCTACTTTTATCTACATTTCTTAAGATATCAACTCCGGACCACGTCAGATCATTGTAGAGTAGTAAGTACTTCATTTTTACTGGGTATAAATTTTTGGCCGCCATCTTGGATCTGCCATATTGGATACAAAGTTTTTTTTTTCAAATGTAAAGGTAGGGTTGTGACCCATTATTCTAAACTAGAATTTTACGCTGATTACAATGCCGCAATTAGTTTTTAAAAATCTTGATCCGTTCTAAAGTTATAAGGACTTTTTATAACTTTATTTTTAGCCGGATTTTAACATTGTTCATTTACAAACTAAGACCATAATCTCAAAATAGTGCTAGATGAAGATAAGTATACACCACCATTCATTGTCGACCTATTTTCACTTGGTTATGACGGATGTATTTTTTCGGCCGCCATCTTGGATCCGCCATTTTGAAATGTGACAAATTAATTTAAATATGAAGGTGGTGTTGTGACCCATCATTTTGAACTAATTTTTTATGCTGAACTCAATGCCGCAATCGGTTTTTCATTTGCATGTTTGGTTTTTGAATTATTGAAATTTTAAATAAGATAATCATCAAGAAAGCTTGATAACCGAAAACGGATTGCGGCAATGAGTTCAGCATAAAAAAGTAGTTGAAAATGATGAACCTACCTTTATATTTGAAAAAAAAACTTTGTATCCAATATGGCGGATCCAAGATGGCGGCCAAAAATTTATACCAATTATCAATTATCAATCCCCAGTCAAAATGAAGTACTTACTACTCTACAATGATCTGACGTGGTCCGGAGTTGATATCTTAAGAAATGTAGAAAAAAGTAGGGGGGGAACTCATTTAAAACTCGCCCTGTATAATGTCCTTTCTTAAAATGTATTTAGTTATAAATAAAATAGTTGTTTCACATTTGAGGAACTCTTTGTATAGACTAGCCAAAAGGCTTAATAAAAAAGATTAACCACCAACCTCTACAAGTAGTTTGGTTTCTTTCAAGTTCATACAAAGCGGTTTTTCACACAAAACAGATTTGCCGTGTTCCAGACTCATTTTAGCTACTTCAAAATGATATGGATGCAAAACTCCAATGTACACAACCTCTGAAACAAAGTTTGTATTTAGTTTGACTCAAATAAAGTGTTATGGACTTCAGAATTTTATAACATTACGGAAAACTTTAAACGGTAAAAGAATGTTTTAACAACCACTAAGATCAGTTGTTGATATGGCTAGTTAAGGTGCTTGTTATTGCTTTTTAGATTATTGAGTCTCAATTTAAGATTGCAAGAATAATTTATAAGCTGGGCCTATTTAGGTTATATTTTAAATTTCGATCTTAGACAAATTTGAATAAATTGAATATGTTCATATTATAATAATAATATTTTCAAAAGCAAATCATAGATTTTAAATATTGAAATAGGTTACCTATGTCAGAATTATCAAGGAGTTCTTGGTAAGATCCAAAAGCGAGAGGTATTTTGTGCTGTTTTGCAAACTGTTCTGCTCTTCCTTTGTCACGGGCAGCAACACCAATAATAGTGTGATCTTCTGAAGGAAGACTCTTCATGGCGGTAACAAAATCACTGGCGATTTTACCAGCAGATATTATTCCCCAACGAGTAGCCATCTGAAAATATTTAAAATTTACTAAATGTCAAGCCTTAATTTAAAGTACACTAATTAAAGTATTATTTATAATTTTAAATTAAGATATGGCTGTAGTACGACAGCAAGTCTGATGTTAAAAGTTGATGTCCATAACTCACTGTGATAATTCAGGATGAGGGGGAGAGGATTGTCTTCCAGGGGCCTTTCTTTCTCTCTTCTTATTTAACATGTTTTAATTTTACTATACAATTGTTTTAATTTACAAAAGAATGACGTACTGTAACTGTATCAATAATTTACCGGTAAGCATGGATACCCCATTTAGTTTTGCATAGGCTAACTTGCATATGTGGCAGGTGAGAAGTAGAGAATGGTAAACAATGGATATATTGAGGGGGGGGGGGTTGCCCTTTAGCTCTCAGTAGGTTTTAATTCTGATACTACTTAGAATTTAGTTTTACAATTAAGTTACGTTAAGTTGAAAATATTTGTCCTAACATAAGTGGGTGTTAGGCGAGTCTTTAAACTTAGCGTCTCAGATTTTGTTGCGGGAGGAACAGGTTCAATTCCCTGCACATTCATAAGACATGGGTTTGGACTGCTTTCTCTTAAACCAATCAATCAAAATAACAGTTCATTCTCCATAAGAATAACTTAAATTAATTTACGATTTTTTTATTTAGGCCTAGAGTTTTCTTGAATTTTTTACATACGTAACCATTAGGAATACAAACAACAACCCTTAAATATACTAAATTAGGATACTGTACGGTACTGTATTTAGGCCATTCAGTTTTTTAACCCTTCCCGGACAAAAAATCGTGACATAGAACGGGAAAAAATTATAGGAAAATGATTTTCCTTATTTGTGTTTTATTATACATACAAGTATACATAAAATAAACACAATGGAACACTTCATACTGTCAAAATAATGTTTACTCGATTTTAATTATGCTGATATATCCACTACCTGTCTTTGAAGATATGACGATGACAACGTTAGGCAATAAATAAAGAACAATATGTAAACAATAAATAAAGACAACGTAGTGTTGAGCACGAAACGTCGAGGGGGGAGCGTCGGAGAGGTGGGTGGTGCATGGGAGAGGGTAGGCGCGGGAGAGAGGGGGAAGTGCGGGAGAGAGCGCAGCCATGGAGAGAGCAGGAAAATGGCGCCTTGGTGCCGCGAAACATCTGGTTACTTCTCAAGCACCTGCCAGTCTGTCTGAAGAGAAGGCGGATATATCCGCTTCCCAACCGGTACATCAAAAACCATGAGCGGATATATCTGCCACCCGTCCTTTATCGCCAAACACTTAGGCGGACATATTATCCGTCACCCTTCCGTGAAGGGTTAAATAACCAACAAAATAGTTTACAAAGTCACTGAAAAATTTTATATTAGGTTAAAGGGGTCAAAAATGGGAGAAAACTCCATAAAACCCTGTTTCAATAGAACAATTTCTTAACTGGGCTATGCTAATAACAATTGAAACTATTGATTTGATTAGTAAACCTTCATGCGATTTTTTCATTATCAGCAAGTTTGGTAAGTTAGGTTTGGTTATGACAGTTTCATTTTATAATGGTAATTAAAAATACCCAATAAGTTTATTAACTTAATCAATATTTTCAATTTGATAACTTAGTTTCAATCGATTATTTTTAAATCCATAAGTTCATTTTATAGCCTTGTGTGATTTGTAGGCCTATGGTGTTTTTTTTTAGCTTCTTGGAAAATCAAGAAACAAAAAGGTCAAACAGTCAAGGGTCGGTCTACCGTAAGTTAGGGCTTGATAACTTGATAGCTAATTAGGCCTAAGTTACAAGGGAAACTCGCCAAAAGAAATAATAGTTACTTAAATAAGTCAACCTACCATGACAGTATTCCCTTCTTTGAGCAGTGGGTTCTATAGTCTCACTGCAAGAAGACGAGACAATTTTAACTACTTAGGCTAAGTTACATCAAAAACTTCTACTAGCCTATTATACTTATAACTAATTAACTTAAGTTATTATACTATTAACTTTCAACTAATTATGAGTTAGTAGGCTAAAACTGTTAAGAAATATTTTAACCTTGCTCATTAAATTAAATAGGGCGTTTTCTCTGGTTTGGCTTATCATTATGTTAACTTTACGGGTACAGTTTCTTAACTGGGCTATGCTAATATCGATTGAAACTATCGAATTGGAAATATTGATTAATAATCGTTATTTTTAAATATAGGCCTATCTATTACAAAATTAGACTAACCTAATAAACTAGACTAACCTAGTAAACTATCATAACCTAACCTAGCCAACCAAACTTGCTGATGTTGAAAAAATCGCATGAAGGTTTACTAATCGAATCCATAGTTTAAATCGATATTAGCATAGCCCAGTTAAGAAACTGTACCCAATTTGACAACTGAACAAGCCAAAATACTTAGTACTTAGGCCTAATCTCTATTTAGATAACAAGATTGAGGTTAGTCAAGTGATAAGGATATAAACCAGAACAAGAAGCTAATTATTATAAGTAGGCAGTAATTTTTGTTGCATTGCTCTACAGCAAACAATTAACTTACTTCCAAGACGAAAGCTTAATAAGTGTAGAATAGGTGTCGAATTCGTAGAAAATTAAAATTTAATAACTTATTCTTGATTTATACCAACAGTACGGTACTCACAGCCAGCGCTTCGCTTGATCTTGATGAAAGAGATTAAATCGAATTAGAAATAATTATGAAAATTAAAAATTTAAACTTGATAGAAAAGTTCCGTACTTTTTTTGAGAAGTTTGAACCTCCAACTTCGTCCGTCGACTCAGTTCATTTCTTAAGTTTACATTGTTACTAACGAACACAGATTACAAATTATCACAATTATTTTTTTAACTAAATCATCCATGATTGATTTCTTACTTTTTCACAAAAAATCCAATTAGCTTAAATCATCTTCTAAGATATTAGAACATAATTACATATTTTCAAAACACTGCAGGAATAAAAAATAGTTATTTGTGCAACTAGTGAGAAAAGTGAGCAATTGACTCACTCGAGAGAAATCCTTACTCACGGAATGGTTTCTCGAGTGAGGCAATTGTACTTTGAACTTGAGTTGCAGTTGCACATTATACTTTTCCTACAGTTACGTAACAATGTACATGTTCTCTCACTGATTTGAGAAAGCAAAGTGGCAAATTCGCTAATCAGTGAGACAACATTGTCTCACTCTAATTACTTTGTCTCACTCCAGATTTTCAACGTGAATGCAATGCACGAAATAGTGAGCGCGTAACATGCAGGCAACTTCGTATGCGCGCTAAATAAATACGTTGGCAGCACTGGCTGTAAATCAGCTGGTCAGCTGTTGTACTGTTGTATTTGTCACTTCACATTAAATGTTATATTAAAAGTTCACTTCTGTGTAAAAATAGGTTATGTTTCTTCACCAATTTATTTGTTTTATGGCAACTGTAGGAAAAGTATAATGTGCAACTCGAGTTCAAAGTACAATTGCATCACTTGAGAAACCATTCCTCACTCGCCTACGGCTCGTGAGTAAGGATTTCTCTCGAGTGAGTCAATTGCTCACTTTTCTCACTAGTTGCACAAATAACTATTTCCTACAGTTTACCATAAAACAAATAAATTGGTGAAGAAACATAACCTTTTTTTACACAGAAGTGAACTTTTAGTATAACATTTAATGTGAAGTGACAAATACAACAGTACAGTACAGCACCTGAACGCTGAACAGCTGATTTACAGCCAGTGCTGCCAACGTATTTCGCGCGCATTCGACGTTGCCTTCATGTTACGCGCTCACTATTTCGTGCCTTCACGTTGCAAATCTGGAGTGAGGCAAAGTAATTAGAATGAGACAATGTTAACATTGTCTCACTGATGAGCGAATTGGCCACTTTGCTTTCTCAAATCATTGAGAGAACATGTACATTGTTAGGTAACTGTAGGAAAACAATTAAGTTAAAATGCAAATATAATCAAACACATGGTTTATAAATAAATTAAATAGAAAATAAATCTGATACTTTGTAGGGAAAGGGAATATTTTAGAAGAAATCCAGGCAGGTAAATGGAAATTCGCTTAGTCTGCAGATTTGCTGTGGCGGGGTATATTGATTATAATTAATGTGTTTTGTGGTTTTGATCCTTATAATTCTAAACAAAATAGTGTAACTCCCCATTGCTGTAACAATTACAGTTCAAAAGTTATTGCTACTTTTATTATTTTGCCTAGATATAATAGTATAGTTATTCGTGATTATTCCCAAAACGTGCTACCAACGCTTTTTTTTAATTTTTTGCTTGTATCTACGCCACCAATTTCAACGCTTTTAAGGGAAAGATGTCTACAAAGACATCCTACTCCTGAGCAGTGAGTTCAAAACAGTAACCAAATACATGAAAAAAACAATATGACAATGAATAATATCAATCAACAGCAATACAAACAAAATTTAATTAACAATAGAATAATAACAATAAACAACAACACTTTTACAATGAAACCTTGGGGAAATCAATCAACTCATTGGCACTATGGCTCATATGGTTTTATGTATAACATAATTAAATATTATGTAATAAAATCATAATCTCGTGATACAAAAAGGGTGGTAAATGAAAAAACGAAAAATCTTCCCATCTTCCCTCTCAAATTCGCAAAGTTTCAGTAAATCCTGATCAGTTTTCAGACTTATGGCATGTTTCTCACCAGCCTTTACCCTAGATCAAAGCCGAATTAGTTCAAAACACTAATATTGGCCAGTGCGGGCCTTACGATTTTTATTTCAGCTGCAGTTTTTTACAACGGACAAAATGAGAGTTTAAAAATTAGAAATTAAAACAAAATTATCATAGGCCTAAAACTAAAAAAATATATAATTAATTGTTTTTTTAATTAAACTGTCATAACCTAACCTAACTAACCAAATTTGCTGATAATTACAAACTTGAATGAAGGTTTACTAATCAAAAAAATAGTTCTGTTCATTAAATAAAACAATAAATAGCTCAAATTCAATTTTATAAGGTTTTAATTATAAAATTTAACTGTTATAACCTAACAAAACTAACCAAACTTGCTGATAATGCAAAAATCTTAGACAAAAAGCTTGTGCACCCGATGGGTTTCGAACCTGGGGCCCTATTTTTGAAATGGTTGACTGTTGAGTTGAGTGTCGAGTCATTCTATTTCCAATCGTTTTGTATTTTTGAAACGGTTGACGGTGGACTTATACAACCAAAACTACTCAACACCTATCGAGCTGTTGAGTGGAGGTTGACTGCACTTTCTTCTTCCTCTCTTTCGGCAAAAAATTACTCTTTTTGAGACGACGCCATATTGTTTTGTTATTGCTTTAATTTACTAATTGCGATTTAGAGGTTATGTATTTGTTGTCAATGTATTAGCACCCAATTATGCGATTGTTTTCTGTAGAATAATCGCATTTTAATTTTATTTACTGTGTCAATACTAGACTATTTAATCAAGGGTTTTATCTTGTTGGAATGTTTGAAATAGACTAGGCATACTAATTGAACTTATTATAAGATAATTATTGTTATTAGACCTATGATTTAAGGTATTAAAGATTGTGGTAGAAAGAAACAATGTCATAGTTTGTTTCAATACCATTCACCTAATAAAGGGATCAAATTAATTTAAGTTACGATATGCTTCCAGTGCAATGGCAAATGGCCACTTTAACCTAAATAAAAAACAATTAAAAATAACATAAAAACAAACCGATGAAGGAAACTAAAATAAGGTGATGTGTTCCGAAATAGAGACGAAGAAAGCAATTAATAATGTATTTAGGATGAGTGTAGGACCTAAAGTAAAGTGCAGCCTATGCCTAAACTTATAATTAGCTACACCCTAAAACCAACATCCATAGTAAATTTTATTTTTAATACTTAAGTTTAGCCTATATAAGTTAAGGTACTTTGCAATCACTAAGATTAAATTAAGCAAGACATAACCCATTATAACCTCAATCTCTCAAGAACACTGAGCTAAAATTATAACTGGAGGTAGCACTGCCATGGCAGAAGTCTGTCAAAAGCGAGTCGCTGATTTTGTTAGGTTGGTATAGCAGTAAGTTTTCTTACCATATCAATAACATGGCTTCTTATAACTAGGTTGGTATAGCAGTGAGTATTTTTGTCATACTTGAATACTTTTAATACTTTAATAATTTTCTTTGAAATGGCGACCATACAAAGTAGGTATTTTAAGCCAAGTATAATAATAGCCATAGCAATAATATGGCTTCTTATAACTCACACCTCACGTAAACATGGCGGCTGGCGACACGCATCTTTGACATTCAGTGCTACCTCCAGTTAGAATTATAGCTCAGTGCTCAAGAACGGAGTTGACAGTTTACATCTGTGTCTCGAAATATGGCAGATTGGATTGAGATTAGCTGCCAGATTTTAGAGTAAGAAGAGGTTAAATCGAAGTCCGCAAGAACTCTGCATTGTGATTGGTTCAAAATGACGTCATCTGAATTTTTGACGGTCGTATGCTCTACATTTCCACCACGAGTCTCTCAACTAGAGATTCCCAACTCGCTTCCCAACTGTTGGGTTTCAAAAATACCAAATCATGTTGTTGGTTGAGTTGAGTGCTGACGATTGACTCAACTGTCAACCATTTCAAAAATAGGGCCCCTGGTACACCCCGTTTCATTGCGCTAATGGTGTTCTCTCAGCCAATAGAATGCTCTCATTTTGTTCTTATTAAAATAACTGCAGCTGAAATAAAAATTGTGCGTCCGGACCAGGGGCCCTATTTTTGAAATGGTTGACTGTTGAGTTGAGTGTCGAGTCATTCTATTTCCAATCGTTTCGTATTTTTGAAACGGTTGACGTTGGACTTATACAACCAAAACTACTCAACACCTATCGAGCTGTTGAGTGGAGGTTGACTGCACTTTCTTCTTCCTCTCTTTCGGCAAAAAATTACTCTTTTTGAGACGACGCCATATTGTTTTGTTATTGCTTTAATTTACTAATTGCGATTTAGAGGTTATGTATTTGTTGTCAATGTATTAGCACCCAATTATGCGATTGTTTTCTGTAGAATAATCGCATTTTAATTTTATTTACTGTGTCAATACTAGACTATTTAATCAAGGATTTTAATCTTGTTGGAATGTTTGAAATAGACTAGGCATACTAATTGAACTTATTATAAGATAATTATTGTTATTAGACCTATGATTTAAGGTATTAAAGATTGTGGTAGAGAGAAACAATATCATAGTTTGTTTCAATACCATTCACCTAATAAAGGGATCAAATTAATTTGAGTTACGATATGCTTCCAGTGCAATGGAAAATAGCCGCTTTAACCTAAATAAAAAACAATTAAAAATAACATAAAACAAACCGATGAAGGAAACTAAAATAAGGTGATGTGTTCCGAAATAGAGACGAAGAAAGCAATTAATAATAATGTATTTAGGATGAGTGTAGGACCTAAAGTAAAGTGCAGCCTATGCCTAAACTTATAATTAGCTACACCCTAAAACAAACATCCATATAGTAAATTTTATTTTTAATACTTAAGTTTAGCCTATATAAGTTAAGGTACTTTGCAATCACTAAGATTAAATTAAGCAAGACATGACCCATTATATAACCTCAATCTCTCAAGAACGGAGTTGACAGTTTACCTCAGTGTCTCGAAATATGGCAGATTGAGATTAGCTGCCAGATTTTAGAGTAAGAAGAGGTTAAATCGAAGTCCGCAAGAACTCTGCATTGTGATTGGTTCAAAATGA